GTCGCCTGCTGATTCAATAGGCAATCTTTCTATCGACTGTGCACCATGATAGGATCTTTGCCCGGTCGGTGTGTATATGTGTGTGTGTGTGTGTATGTGGCAGTGGGTTTGTGCATGCCCGCATTATCTGCAAGGAGAGGGGACAGGCGACTGATAAGAAGAAAGAGAGAAAAACAGGGCATTCAAGGTAAAAAGATACAAAGGCTTGAAGGTCAGATTGATGAGAGAGTTTCAGGGCCAAAGAGAGGAAATATAAGAAGAAGGAGCCAGCAGAGTCGAGATGTGGATGTGTGGACATCAAGCAATGTCTCCAGGAAATGTTTGAGTTCAGAAATAGATACTTGTTGCTGGATTGTTTAACCCTCAAAGCAAATACTGGATCTTCAGATGTCGACCAGGGTTCACTATTTGAACAGAGACATTCAAATTTATTTTTGTGTAACTCTAAATCACAGAAGTCGTCCCTGAGGATTTCACAAAATAGTCAATTTTCTCATAACAGTTTAAAGAATGGTAATCTTTTTATTCAAACGTAAATATTTCCTACAAAATAAAACAAAAAAGATACTGAGCAACAGTTTGAAAAAGGGTTGGATGGAGCAGATACTTATTTGGCTGCTCCGTCTTCAACTAACTAACATCACACAAACACAAACAACACACAACACAGGCTAAAACACTCTCTGACCATACACCTCCTTTCTACCACTTTCTTTCTACCACTTACATCTTCTGTTCTTCCTTTTAAGAAATATGTCGGATCGGAATCATATCAAGTTTTTAAATCATCTGTTAAAAAACATTTTCAAATATGGTTTAGTTCAAAAAAATGTTTATAAAGAGACAGACAAATGAAACAATTAGAACTCAGGAACACAACAAAAAGAAACCTTTGAGACTCCGATGTGCAGTGAAAAGGTGGTATATAAATAAAGATGACTAAAGAAACCCAGCCATGTGATGACCAATATCCATAAATGTCCTGGGTCATCATTGTCCTTCAGCCACCAGACTGGCAGAATTTATTTCTCTGTTATCTCAATCAGACAGATGTTCCAATAAAAACAAACAAAGACAAGGTGGGAGAAGTCTTCAGAGCTGCCTGCCAACTCTAGGGTTGTTGGGGAAAAATCTGGTGTCATGTCACGCCAAACATAATCAAGCAAGATGTATCCAAGAGATGAAAACTCTAATTTTAAGCAATATTCAGACCGGATTAAATGACTAAATCAGCATGCAACTACAGGCTGCATTGCTCTGCCTGGCTATAACTCACCCTTCTCATGACAAAATCAGAAAGCATCAGCACTTAATCTGGTAAGGAGGACAGGACGAGATGGAAACACGAGGTGAAAATAAAGCAGAGGACATGATGTGAATGAGTCCTGCCTCAACAGCAAATTCTAAAGCTGCTTTCCTAAATTCTTGCAACTTCAATGTGTGACTGCCGGACCTGGTGAATTGAAGATAAATTGATTCCTGGCCCATCATTCGAAGGTGCTGGCCGTTGGCTGAGACGTACGCTCACACCTACAGAATGTATAGGAAAACAATGGGGCAGCTTTTGCTCTCATAAGGTTCAGCTGTTCAGATAGTTCAGAGGATACAAGCTGTGGAAATGCATTGAAAATCTATATGGAGCACGCACAGTGAAAATGAATGCATGCCTATATATTTCTGTTCCGAAAGCGTGGGCAATGTTTGTGGAATGAGGGTGAGTTTTAGACTTGAATTGTGTCTGTGCAATTTTTAGAATTAGAAGTAGTTCCTATTTTTTTATAAGCTGCGCTAACCTTCAGACCACCAACTAATTGAATAATGTAATAGGATTCATTGTAATGTTCTATCACTAGTTTTTGCATTTTTGTCAGACAGAAAAGTGAATCAGCTTCAAATAATGACTTAAAGGGTTCTTTTCACAAGGATGTGACAAATATACCGATGTGTAGTAGCATAAAGATAGCAAGTTTCTGGTCTGATTTCTTCACAAAGTTGTGCTTTTACTTTATGAACAAGGTTTAATATTAATGAATTGTTCCTCCGCTTTATTTAACAACTTTGTATGACCCTGAAATAGTTCAGTTGAGTTATGTTGAGTGTTCTTTTATTTCGAAATGAATGTGCATCAAACTTTAATCATCAAATGTCACTACATAATCTTTTCTAGCACATCTTTCATTTACTATTACTTATTACACTATTATATATTATTCAAACTTGAAAAGGAGTGGGAGGAAGGAAAATCAAAAAAAGAGATACAGGAGATGTTACATGAAGACCACGTTCTTTTGACCACAAAAGTCAATGCAGCAAGATTACTCAAAAATGCATGAATCCAACATGACAGAACCTCTTTGTAGTTAGGAACACAAGGGTCTAGAACTACAGTATGTGCATGTTCACGCTACAAACCCATTGGAATGTTCTCTCAGCGTAGGTTTCCTCTGGGTACTCCGGTTTCCCCTACCACCAAAAACATGCACACTAGGTTAAATCCTCCAGCCCCGGTTGTCCTGATCAAGCCGAGCATCAGCAGCTGGAGATGGGTTCCCGGTCGCTGTACAATGGCGACCACTGCTCCTGACGTAGGCCTTAGGGGCATCAGGATGGGTCAAATGCAGAGGATTCAATTGCCCTACGGGGATCAATAAAGTTCATCATTACCTTTCAAGACATCATTTACCATTCAGCCGTAAAAAATAATAGTAATCTGCTTTTACCACAGAGCCTTTTTTCATAAACATGTTTTTTAGACAGACAAACACACAATCCCACTTATCTACCTGCGGTGCTGCTTTTTAGTCCTGAATTTTTTTTGAAGGGGTGCTGCATTTCCCCCTCGCGTTTGTTTCTTGTGCTCTTGTTTACGGGGGAGGAGAGGTTTGGCAGCGGGATAAGGAGGTGAGAAACACACGGGGAGAGTAAAGAGCTGACAAAGTCTTCTATAGCTGCACCCCGCAATAACACACAATAACACAAGCCGGGACAAAAGCCGCGGAGAAGGGTAGGCGAGCCGCAATCTGTCACCTGTTCTGCACGACGCGGTGTAAAGGCTCCCAAATAAAGCACTGCAGGAGCTGTCGCATTCAAAGTCGAGCACTGAGACGTTTGGGGCTACAACCACTGAGCTGCAAACCCACAGACAAATCTCCAAAAGTTGCATAATTGTGCGTTTTCATGTTGCACCGTGTTATGAGTTTTGGTGGCGTAAAAACTATATACGACTAATGGGGGGGTAAGGTGTTTTGTTTAAAGCAATGTTTTCCGCCTCTGTTGATTGGCGGCGCACTTTTTGACAACCGCTAAAACACTGTGTAGTGAGGCGTGGAGGATGTGTGTGTCACTCAGAGCAGATGCGTTGAAAAATGCGATTCAAACAAGTTCTGGAAATGCAGGTGAATCCAGGCATGCCAAGAGGTGCCGACTTTCCCATTTCTTGCACGCACAAAATGCTCATGACTACTATATGTCTGGTGTGGAACAGTGGGACAGTGGTTGGCGTTTTGTGCATCACAGCAAGAAGAGCCTGGGTTCGATGCCACCTCTGGACAGTGCATTTCTGTGTAGAGTTTGCATGTTTTCCTCGTGTCTGTTTATGGTTCAGAGTGAATGAGTACGCTTTGCTGTTGTTTAAAGTAGCAATGAGCAAGAATTTTGTGTCATTAAATGGCCCTAATATGTCAAAAACCATGCTCTTTTCCAATACTTATTAAACTGTAGTTTGGCAGAGATATTCCAATATCAAAATTAGTTTTACAGCCTCTAAATCAATAGTCCATGATCCGGGTTGCCAGAATTCCCCGCGTCGGGCTAATCTCGCTGGTAAAGTAACATGTCAGTACAAAAAAGGTCTCGTTGTGATTCTCAAATAATTCATAACAAAACAAAGATTAAAGCAAGGATTTCTATTGGTACCTTTGTGAAAAAGGTCTTGGTTATAGATTTGTTGTTGACAAAACTCTTGTCTATTCAGATATTTTGTTCCCAGCTGGATTCATCTGCATATCTGGCAACCTGAATCAGGGAGGGTGCAGTAGATCTGTTTGCCAGATTTTTACAGACTGCTCCTTTAATATACACTGACTCATTAATATAAATACATTAATTACATTAAATTTGTCTGGGGCTCTACTAGGGTTAATTTAAGTGCATATGATGAACACATTATAGTTAAAAGTTATAGTTATTTTTGCATGTTTGAAATAATTGCTAATGCATGCTAAGTTACTGCCGTCTTATGTGAAGGCTTTTATTGGACAATACAACTCCAACCTTTACTTATGCAGACTTGGTAGCGTAGATTCAGCTCTGACACGTAGTTCAACTGTGTCCAGTAACTTACCAGTTCCTTGTGCTTATGCTTATGTATAAGTCATGTAAAATTATGTTTCTGAGTCAGGCCTAACATAAGATGGTTAAAATACCATATTCAAGATCCTAAAAGATCTCAGAAAATCCACAATGCACGCCTTCTGTTCACTGTTTTTACTGCCAGGTAAACTGCAGGGAAGACAACATGGTTCAAAAGAGCAGCACTTTGTTGTGATGATGTACAAGCTTCACCTGGTTATGTGCTGCATGATTTTTATTTAATTTTTACGTCAATTTCAATCGATGTTTTGAATGATCAAAACGCACAAGGATCCACAAATGTCATAAATTCCACCTAGCTGCTGGGTAAATTGTATTGAATTGTGTTCACATGGATGCCTTTAGGATTTAGATTTTGGTGGGTATTTGTTTTGGAAGTGTAGTGTGTTTCTGTTCATAAAATCCTTCTTTTAATTGAATCTGTCCCTCAGTTCCTCCTAAATACATCAGCACAAGCCACACACGCGTCATCAGTGACAACAGCCTTGCCCTCTTCTCCAGTCTTGTCGAGCTTTCAAGTGCTTGTCTGTATTGTCCCCAACACTTCGCAGCCACTTTCAAGTTGTGTGTCCTCCAATCACTTCTCTAACCCTCGCTCCATTTCTCTCTGCCTTCCTTTGTGTGCACAGCCATCAACTTGCTGGGCCTGACATGGCAGTTGAAGCCATCCGACGGCCCCATGCTCAACAACGGACTGGGAGCGGGCTTGCCTGTCAACAGCGATGTGGCCACGTTGCCCTCTGGAGGCAGAGGTAAGAAGTGACACCAGCACTGACACAAGACAAGTCAATGGATGAGGCACACTGTTGTCTGCCCCTGACATGGCCTAGTTCTCTGTGCATATGCAAGCAGCGCCGTGTCCAGTTTGGATTTGTGAGAGTGGACTTAAGTGGTGACCTAAAATGAAGTGCTGGGTCAACAGTCCTTTATAACTAGGAGTTCAGTGAGTACAAAGACCCAATGCGAAAAAGGGTGAGGTATTTTTAGCATTAGTAACACAGTGAACTGGGCTTCTATGATTGAAATGTATCTCTTCATGAGTGCTCAAAGCTTATGGATGGGAAATTTGAATTTCTGGTAAACAATTTGTGAATATATCTCAAGGATACAACAGTAAACAGTAGCAAGAATCTGTTGTAATTCCGAGCATGTAAAGGTCAAAACAAATATACACTAAATTATATTATAGAACGTCTATGCATAGAAGGACTTTCTATATTATAATTGAAGCAAGGATATATTAGATCTAATATAGACTAAGTTGCAGCCACCATCTATTTGCTTATACAATCATTGAAAGTGCTATATTGAATCAGTCCTCTTTAGTCTTTAGTCTAGTGCACATCGTCAAGCTAGCATCATAAATATTTACCACATATCATTCTGTGTCCGTCTGTACCACAAAAGAAAACTATCTTTTCCCCAAAAACTCCAATTAAAATAGTTGCCATAAATAAGCCTGTTGAACAGATTGAACATATTTGAGTCCAAATTAATTTCAGCAGAAAGCTACAGGCACAGAAGAGGAGAGCATTCAAGGACAGACTAGTGGGATTGGTTAAAAAACAAGATGTTTTAAATTCTGTTCCCGCTGTGTAACATACTAAACCACTCTGCTAGATGATTTTTCACCCAAACAGACTCAGCCCAACTCAAATATTTTCATAATTCATGACGCAGCAGTAGCAGAACGATCAGTATGCGCTGTTTAACCAGAGCGCTGGCTGGTGTGGAGCTGCTGTCTTTAGGCCCCTGTGTGGTTTTCCATCTCCTCTCTCCGTCTGTTTTGTGGTATAGGTGCGTACGTGTGGGCTGCTGCTGCAAAGTCTATTAATGAGAGCTGTGTTTCTCCGTCTGGGGGAGATGGGCTGTTGTTCTTCTCACTGTTACTTTTATTCTTCCTTTCCCCCTTCGTTTTTTTGGCTCACATAGCACACACTCCTCTCCCTCTGTTTGGGGTTTTTCACTGTTCCGAGGCTGAGCTCACTGCTGCGCACTGTCTGTACTGCACAGGCCTTGCCCAGTTTAGATCAAACAAACTCATGATCAGAATCAGTTCTAGACGGGCTGTTTGTCTTGGTCAACCTAGTATATATATATTGGTGAATAATTATTTTTAGGGATTTATATTGAGAAACTTTCAAAACGAGGAAGCATGAAGCACATTTTTATTTTTACATGGGAAGCAAGTGTGTAATTTTAAGTTCATTAAGATATAGAGAAAAATATATGGCGAGCCAAATCTTCTCAGTGTAATAATCCCTTTTTATGTACTAAAATCATGAATGTTATTACCAAAACTAAGCGACATTTCAAGCAAAGCAATAACATCTTTTGCAAGAAGCAGGTATTCGACCACTTCACAAAATATTTATGTATTAGTCTTAATAAAGAATAATAATCTACTAAATATAACAACTAAATATAGAAAGAACAAAACATAATTCATAATCAGCTACATAACAATATTAGTTTTTGAGAGCCTTCGTAACTGCCCTTTTAGTCGACCAATCAAGTGACCAGGCGAGTCTGTAGTCAACCAAGCATCTCTTTGCACGCCTATATTCCTAATTGGCGTTTATCCTGCTTTAAGGTATTATTTACTATGGTTACACACACATTTAATTGGTTCATGACAAAAGTTCAGTGAGAGCAGTGTTTGCCTGAAATTTTATTGCTTTTTTTGTGTGTGCTGTGAGTGGAGTTGCTTCTCTGCACATCGGTTCAGTAACATGCATGTTTCCATGGAGATAGCCAAGTGTAAAAGCTTCCTGTATATTTTCCTGCAATTACATCAATGTGCAGACAAGCATGCAAGAAACCTCCATTAGAACAGCACCATTATTTCAAGCCAATTTATCTGGTAGTTATCGAATAGTTTTAGAGACAAATCAACTGTTTTCCATCCAGCAAACAAAAATTATTCACACATTCTTGCTGAATTGATGTTGTTTTAGCAGCTTTTTGGTCATTTCATTTTAATTTTGCAATCGGATTCAATTAGTCTAATGTACAGTGGATCTATTTTACACATTTGGAGCGAAACATGGGCACAGTGTGTGGAGTTGTAACGGGGCCAACCCTCTCCCATTTCATTTTATTTTAAAGCCAACTTTTTCCAGTAAACAACAATGATGAACTATTGACTCGGGACAATCAATGCATATAATCACAGTTTATGTAGTCTCTTTTCCCCTGGCGCCAGGTCCATGGGCGGGACGCAACAGCAGTATAGACACTGGCAGCGTGGAGGTCGGGAGGAGGGTGAGCCAAGAGGTGCCCCCTGGAGTGTTCTGGAGGTCCCTGCTTCACCTCAGCCAGCCGCAGTTTCTGAAGTTCAACATATCACTGGGCAAAGACGCACTGTTCGGAGTCTACATCCGCAAAGGCCTGCCTCCATCCCATGCACAGGTAAAAGCAATCGTATCAAATGTATTTAGTTATTTCTGATACAATCATTCATTTTTTTGTGATATATTTTGTATTCATTTTTCTAATATCGTTTCCGCCACCGATTCATAGGTACATGTGATCCGAATTGTTACATTATTGTACAGATATTGTATGTTCACATGTCAAAACACATACATGCCTACAACACATTCGCCCTCACATCTTACTCACACTTACCCCATCCACCATTCAGGCCTATAGTATAAGAGACAAACCATGTTAAAAAAAAAAACACATACATTGTTGAGATTTAGTTGCCTTGGAAGTGATGCTACTAATCTGTGCCATCGGCCCATCCTACCACCATCAAGCTTGCACACTTACACAAAACTGATACTAGACAATATCCTTAGGCAAGTGTCTTGCCTAAGGACACTACAACAGCATTTTGTAGCTGCAGCCACCACATTGTGTCACCTAGTGTTCCCATAGGTCTTCCATCACAGTACTCACCAGGCTAACCTCTGCTTAGCTAAGCTCTGAGAGGATCAGGCTTTCACATAATTATAATTATGATAAAAAATAATTTTAATGCATTGGTTTTATTGGCGTTTTTGAACACTCAAAGATGTTTGACATGTCACTATGAATTCACTGCACTGTGGAGATAAATAACTACTGTAGCCACAGCTGCCCTGTGGCACACTGACAGAAGCGAGGCAACCAGTATGTGCCATCGTCCCCTCCGACCACCACAAACCATTCATGAACACACCAGACTCATTTAAGGCAATGTGGGAGAAGTGTCTTACCAAAGGACACAACGAGAATTTACAGCCACAGCCGCCCCACTGTGGCTGGTGTTCCCAGACTTCTCTCATCACAGCACTAACCAGGCCCTGCCCTGCTTAGCTCTGAGATCTGAGGGGATTAGGTTTTCACATGGCCCGTGTCTTCTCCTGTATTTTTTTTTTTTTTTGTCTTATGGCCTGCTATATAATCTAATGTGTTTAAGTAGGATCGTTTTAAGCTACAGTAATCTGACTAATGTTTCAGGCATTTTAAAATATGAAACTATAATCACTAAACACAAAGTGAAAAGCTGTCTATGATTCTTTTTAGGGAATATTTGAAAAAGCTAATTCTATCTTGGATTTTACACTTGATTAACTTTCACAGTAATGTAACTTTTACTGCCTCGTATTAATTAGAAACGTCTCAATTAACACCAGATTTGATTTATAGAGCAAGATAATTGCATCCGGATAACAGTTTTAGCTCCTAGTCAAGTTCAGCCACTTTGGAAACTGACTTTTGGGAAATTATCAATGTCATTCTAACATTCTTTATCATATATAACATACACGTTGTTGTTGAACTCATGGGGGAGGTGGGAAAAGTAAGAGACTGTGGCAGACACGACACATTTACACAAACACTGAATCCAGACTTCAGGCAAATATGTCAATGAAGCAGCACAGAAGACGTACATTTGCAAATTCTTACATATTTTAAGCATACATGTTCTTATATTATTATTTTGTGAGGAACATAAATTTGGTTGCTCAATATAAGTGTGTGTCATTCATTTTTATAAGAATAAGTAATTTAAGGAGCAAGAAGCAGAAAATGTCCTATTATGCAACTAGACAGCCCTGTGAAAGTACTCGGGTGTAAAATCCCATGTGTGATTTTAATGTTTTTTTGTTTTTGCATGCTGATTTTGATGTTTTTTTATGATTTGTGCCTTGTCTGACGTGGATTATGAAGCGCTCTGTGGTTGGCTGTGTAGGAAAGGCGCTCTACAAATAATCAATCAAGTATATTTATTTCAAACTTGTGTAAATAAAAAAGCAAAAAACTTAGGATACAAACAGTAACACACAAAGTCTGAGCTTTGAAATGAGGTAAACATATACTGGTATAATGAGCCACAAATTATAAGTTTGTGGCTCAAAACGGCAAGAAATGTGAAATCTCAATCTATCACTGATATCTCATTAGACTTCAAAACCAGCCCAGATCTATTAGCTAATGTTAAAGCTGAGAATACTGAAGAATTGTAAATAAAACATGATTATATTGGATAAAATGACATCCTGAGTTGGTGGCTCAAAAGGGCCAAAATTGGACCAATCGCTGGACTTCAAAATCTACCCTATGTTACATTTTTATCATTGCTAAATCCTCAAACTCATCCCATTTACCTTAACCTCTGCTCTAGCTCAATAACCTGCATTTCTGCCGCAGTATGACTACATGGAGCGCCTGGACGGTAAGGAGAAGTGGAGCGTGGTGGAGTCTCCCAGAGAGCGACGGAGTATCCAGACCGTGGTCCTGAACGAGGCCGTCTTTGTCCAGTACCTCGACGCCGGGGCCTGGCACTTGGCTTTTTACAACGACGGCCGAGAACGGGAAACTGTCTCCTTCAGCACCAACATCATGGGTAAGGCTCTGTACTTTTGATTTGTGTTTGAAGGTTAAAAGTATAGCTGAATAGAGGAAAAAAGCATAGGAGAAGAGAAAATGGAATAAAACATGAGAGCTTAAAAGATGGTGTTACGCAAGAGAGAGTTGGAGATGTCTTATTATGAGTGGATTTTCAAACTTCTCCAGACTATGTCACGACAAATGTGGTTTTCATTTTAAAACGGCATTTGAGAAAAAGCCCCGTCTGGGTTTTGTTTTAGAAGTCGTTGCACTTGAACTTGAACTGAACTTGAAGATTGTTAGAGACATTGTGTGGATGACTGTCAATTTGTGCCCACGGAGCCACTGTGCAGAGCATGTGAGGCAAAATATGGGAAATCTAAAAAACGTTGGGACGGTTTTTTTTCTTTTGTTTAAGATTAACGATCCATATGTTTGTGTTATCCCAGCAGTAGTGTTTTATAAATCTGGGATAAAGCTTTGCATGAATAATACATGTTGTTTGTCCCAACAGAAAGATTTTTATAAAAGTAAATTGTTGGCTGGCTTTATTTATCGTTTGTATACTTGTAGGAAACAGCATTGTGAGCTACAATTTCTCTTTTTTGGAGTGTGGGCGGTCCTCCTCTTTTCCCCATCTAAAAAGCTGATCTAAAGATGTGACAGAGACCAAAAGATACATGCAAGAACCTGTTGTATCCTGTATCTCCTCAGCAGAAGATGGGGTTCCTCGCACAAACCAGTGTAGTGTTGGAGAAGGAATGCACTCTGAGTTATGTATTAAAGAAAGAGTTTAATAACATATCAGAATAGCATTTAGTCAAATTCAGGCTTAGCGCTCCCAGCCTGGGTCAGCTCCGAGAATGATGATGGCAAGAATGACCCCGAACACACAGAGCACTGGGGTCTAATAGTATTTTAGAAGAAGTCATAAGACACAGTCACAAGACCCATTTTTAACAAACCATACATTAACGGACAGCCATGTGCATTGTCATGATATCAGGGCTGTTCACACATATGAAGATCTTCCTTTGTTTTCCCCGAGTCACGTCTGCCTCATGACTGAGAAAAGGGTCATTAGAGTCAGCTGCCTCTGCAATTGGGCCCAAATGTTCCAAACAGAATTTCAAACATACTGTATGAAGATACATATATGTAGAAGTTATAATAGCAGACACTACAAACCAAACTGTTTTGAGAGCAAGGAACTAGTTTTGTGGTTTGAAAGTTAGTTTAAGCAACAGAATATTTGCAAGATTGTATTTTCGAAGTGGCAAAAATGTCTGGGCCCCTTCGATTTAGTAGAAAAGTGAAATCTCAGTTTGAAAAATTGGATTTCTGACATCATATTTATGCAAACAAAAACAGTTATTTTTTTGAAGACGTCTCCATCCAGACGCGAGACACATCTTCTTTCTCATCTTGCAAAGAGCGCGGAGATCAATATACTTTGTCTTGTTTTCAAACTTTTCTCCAATTCGAGCTCCCACCCCAAACAACCCCACTAAGAACCAGGACGCGCTTGTTAAATTGGCTGCTGAGTCCTGAAACAGTGTCCTAAATAATTTGAAGTGTTTTGGAGGCACAAGTGTTCGAACAAGGGGGCAATGGATAGACGGAGTCAAGCTGAGTAAAGAATCCTTCACCGTCTCGTCGGCCACGTACGGCAAGAAGCAGGGGACAGAATTAGAAAGGGCTTATTGAGAGAAGAGGAGAGCCAGAGGGGAGACTTAATAGTGGAATGGACTGGAGTGGTTAGAAGGAGGCAGCCCAGAAAGGAGGCAACCCAGAGAGGAGGGAGCCCAGAGAGGAGGGAGCCCAGAGAGGAGGAGGAGGGAGCCCAGAGAGAAGGGAGCCCAGAGAGGAGGGAGCCCAGAGAGGAGGGAGCCCAGAGAGGAGGCAGCCCAGAGAGGAGGCAGCCCAGAGAGGAGGCAGCCCAGAGAGGAGGCAGCCCAGAGAGGAGGCAGCAGCCCAGAGAGGAGGCAGCAGCCCAGAGAGGAGGCAGCAGCCCAGACAGGAGGCAGCAGCCCAGAGAGGAGGGAGCCCAGAGAAGAGGCAGCCCGGCGAGGAGGCAGCCCGGAGAGGAGGCAGCCCAGAGAGGAGGCAGCCCAGAGAGGAGGCAGCCCAGAGAGGAGGGAGCCCGGAGAGGAGGCAGCCCGGAGAGGAGGCAGCCCAGAGAGGAGGCAGCCCAGAGAGGAGGCAGCCCAGAGAGGAGGGAGCCCAGAGAGGAGGCAGCCCGGAGAGGAGGCAGCCCAGAGAGGAGGAGAGAGCCCAGAGAAGAGGCAGCCCGGCGAGGAGGCAGCCCTGAGAGGAGGGAGCCCTGAGAGGAGGCAGCCCGGAGAGGAGGCAGCCCAGAGAGGAGGCAGCCCAGAGAGGAGGCAGCCCAGAGAGGAGGGAGCCCGGAGAGGAGGCAGCAGCCCAGAGAGGAGGCAGCCCAGAGAGGAGGCAGCCCAGAGAGGAGGCAGCCCAGAGAGGAGGCAGCCCAGAGAGGAGGGAGCCCGGAGAGGAGGCAGCCCGGAGAGGAGGCAGCCCAGAGAGGAGGCAGCCCAGAGAGGAGGCAGCCCAGAGAGGAGGTCGTGTCAGGATTGAGAGGGGGGGACCAGAAAGACCTTTTCCATAGAGATGTGAGAAACAAGCCGGGTCATCGCCAAGACATGTAAAGCAATAAATGTAATGAAATGATAACACAGGGGTTTTAGCGTTACGGTTTGTCCAGGCTTTATTTAGTCATTTATTTGTGAATTATTGAGCTTGTGTAAAAAAAAAAATTGTGCTCAACTTCTGTAGTTTTCCTTGTTTTACACACATGATGAAAGATATACACACAAACAAACACACAAATCCAGGGCAGAAACCAAAAAACATATTTACAGATCTGTAAAATAAAAATACTAATAAAAAATGAATAAATAAAAACAAAATGAAAACTCACACTGTTCCACTTTTTTTTCTCCTTTTTTTGTCTGTTTATGTGTATGTAGCCACAGGTGTCTTGTCTGCCTAATCTTAATAATGGATTATGTCTATATGTGTATGTGTGCAACGTTGAATGTGATTCCAGCCAATGCTCTGAGTAAAACGTGGGAGTAGAAGTGTTTAGCCTGATACAAAAATGACAAAAAATATCTTGAAAAAAACTACCCAGACACTCCTGAACAAAAATCTGAGCCGCTCAAGGAAATCTTAATTAAACTTTACAGTACATGTTTAGATCCTATTGACTTTTTTTACAGTCAGCCCTGACAAGGACCATACATAAAGACCTTTTAATTAAGATTCCCGTTTGTTGCTTACATTCTGTTTAGGTTCCTAGTTTTGTTCAAGACTGAATTTATTTTTTCCAGGAGCACCACTCAAGGTTTGATTGATTGTAACTCCTGCAGCATACATCCACATCCTTGTATCTTTCTGCTCAAAAAACTCATCTTATCCGAAATTCAAATGCAACTGATTGTGATATGGGACAAAAAAGTATACAAAGACAAACATTTTGAACCTGAATTTTGTACATAACATAATAATATACAGTATAGGCATAGGCTCCTGGGATATGACACAGTGTATAGTATGTGTATTATAAGTGTTTAGGACTTTATGATTGAACTCGTGTTTGTTAAATTCTTGAAAATGCCACAGTGGATAAATAGCTAAAATTATTGACCTCTGAAAGATGTATAAAGACCCAGTCATAGTGAATGTGAGTTACTATCAAGAACTGTGATGGGGAATTCATTCTTTACCAAGGAGTTACAATGCTCCCCGCTCACTCTATTACTTTCAATGTATGGGATCTCAAACGAAGGGCATTTCACTTTTTGATGTGCAAAACTGTGAGCGCACGATTTGTTGCATCTTTAAGAATGAACGGCACAAATGGATTTAATCGAATGCTTTGATGTGCAAGTTCAAAAAGAGGGAAAAAAACTGTCTTTCAACCTCCTCCATCTCTTTTTTTTTTTCATTTTGTCTTCTTCATCTTCACAGATTCGGTGCAAGAGTGCCCGCGCAATTGCCATGGAAACGGAGAGTGCAATTCTGGAGTGTGCCACTGTTTTCCCGGATTTCATGGAATGGACTGCTCCAAAGGTACGAGGTCGTCTTTGTCCTGCAGCACCACATGACATTAGGAGATGAAATGCACGGTGAATATTCCTCCTAAGACTGGAGAGAAGACCAAAATATAAAACCCAGGAAATGAGAACTGCTTCAGTGGGAAGGAATGTATTCTTTTCACAAGTAGATTCACAATCTCATACAGAGGCAAGGGCTGTGACAAGTTAATCAATTAAAGGGGATGTCAGTAACTTAAATTGTTTTGTTTTTTAATGTATATTTATGACCATGGGATTTTCCAGCAATAATGTATTCCAAATAGCCCCTACAGCCAGTAAGACTTAAGTAAGTTAAACCAATGCCGAGGGGCCTCAAGGATTTGAATTTATTTTGACCAATCAGGAATTTTTTTTTGGGCTTAGCCATCCATAGCCATCCATAAACTCTGGCCAATTATCATTTTCCTATATTTACGTCTGGGTCTGATCCTAGTGGCTGCGGTTACCTTGGTTGTATCCCCTTCAACCATTCAGCAAGCGGGGGAGGCGGGTGCTGTTGGCAGGTGTTGTGACGTCAAGAGTTTGCGCCGAATTCACTGGTTCTAGTTTGCAATAGTAAAGTCATTCATTCTGGTTTGGCTCCATATATCAAAAAATTTAGCAAAATTAATGTTTAGCCATTTTTATTGCTGGCAAAGATGTTGTGGCTCTACTCCCCACAGGCTCTGTCAGTGGCAAAGGAGATGGCTAGGCTAAATGTTAAATGCCTCACTCACTCGGGCACATTGCATACGGCATCTGAGTTTGCTGTCACAATAATTTCAATCTGAAAAGGAGTTAACCCCTCCCACCTGTTAACAGAGCTCAATTGAGCAAATCCAGACCTAAGTGCGAAATTAAATGAGTATGATGGTATGGTAAGACCAGGCTAGACCTAAAAAAGTGTTTTTTATGATCATTCTATAGTTCTCCAAACAACTCAATGCCATCACTTGATTGGTTTTGGTCAAATACTTAAAAAAAAATCTTCACTGACTTTTTGAGACCCAAGCAACTTATCAAAATATGTGTAAACCACGGCTCTAGTAGTGTCCAATATACCGTTTACTCCAACCCTATTCACAATACGTGTTATTTTGTGTTTGGGATTGGAAACACAAACGTTACATTTTAATCCAGTTGCTTTAAAAACTGCTGCACAGCGAGAAACTTTGACACGCGGCAAAAAAAGACACCTCCATTATTTCCTTTGAGCGAGCGTCGAGGTCCGTGCCCTCTGACCCCACTGAAGAGCCGCTGTATAGTTTGAGCAAAGGGAAGAAAACTCACCTTAAAACACTGTCTGTGTCCTCTTCTTACAGCCTCACACTTAGGTTTCAGTTCAGACAAAACTCCTATTGTGTCTTTCATGCATTAAACAGATGAGTGCCTTTTAGGAGGAGGGGGGGGGATATGTGATCAAATATTAAATTAGATCTCCTTATTTGAGCCCATGTTCAAATAGGACAATGTAGTAGGTTGAAGAAAAAAGATATCTTGTTTCTCATTTCCTTTCACAACTACTGGTCAAAGGTTTAATTACATATGCGGAGCTGTTAAAATAAAAACAATTGCAAGTAAAAGTATGATTCACGCTCAGTTTATTTGCCATTTGCAGTAAAAACCATGTTGGAATAACTGTGCAAGAGTTCCCCAGGGTGCACCAGAGCTTCCGCCACTACGCCATGTTCAGACCCTTGGCAAAACTTTGAATAAAAATGTATTACAATGAATTCTGGCTGTTCCATGTGTGACACTGAAAGTAGAAGAAGAAGCTTTCTCCGATTATGCTCCTTGTAAATGGAGCACTCACTAATTCTGCCTTGCCTTTCTGTAGAGATGAGCCTCTGCGGCAAATCTTATCATGTTTTGTTGTAGTTATGATTAGTTATGAAATGTGAAATCGCAACATATTTCCTTCCTCCTTCCTTCTTATATTGTCCCTTACCTTGCAGTTTTTACACTAACCCCAAATAATATATATAGTTTCACTCCTTTGTGAGCAAGTTCTCTCAAATCCACTGCTATGACGGCATTTTTGATACATTTTCAAGATGAAGATTTGTATTTTTGTGTATTTATTTTGTTTCCGCAAATGAACAGTTCACATATTACACCTATTGTGTTTTATTGTGGTTGTTTCACTTGAACATACAACTTAAAACATAAAGACAGAACACATTTTGTCAGATTGAGAGCTTGAAAAACGCTTTGAGCACCAACCGCTTTGTGAAAGTAGTGGAGTGTTTTTTGTGTGTGTGTGTAAACGCTTGATATTAGCGACAATCAATACAACAAAAAACAACTCCAGCTATGTTTTTGATGAGCAAACGTTGTTGTAACACGATTAAAAGCACAAAAAAGCCTCGAGAGACGAGAAAATGCCAATTATTACTATTTTCACCGCAGTCTCTCAGATTATGTTCTTTGACAACCTCCAAAATATGATCTCATAACAGTTAGCTATAGCTCCTATCGCTAAAGCCTACACACGTCGCCGGTCAAATTCAAAAGCCACACTCCTTCTCCCCTTTTCTAATTACACTATAGAAGGCTCCCATTTTGGCTGGGAGCGGCTGGCTGTAGTGGGGATTAGACGGACTAAGATGGCGCGTGGCCTGAGGTAGACGAGCCCAGATGAGATGACTGATGATGAATGGCAGCTCCAGCGCCAGCCCAACCCACCCCCCTCTCCTCCTCTCCCTCCCACCCGTCCGCATGCACACCTGAGAAAGCGACGTTTGATGAATAGTTTAGTTACCTGTAATTACTCTTTATGTCATGGCTGCACTCTTGCACCTTAACCACTCAATTCAAGCAAGGTGAAGCTGTGGAGGAGGCTTTGCTAGTGGGGCTTTTGAAAAATGCTCTGAAAGGCCTTTTAATTGAGTTGAATGCTTTCATTTTCTTTTCTTTTTTTTCTTTCAAGCTAACGTGTAATGTGTCTGTCCCCGCAGCGGCGTGTCCGGTGCTCTGTAGTGGAAACGGGCAGTACGACAAGGGCTCGTGCGTGTGCTACAGCGGCTGGAAGGGCCCCGAATGCGATGTCCCCGTCACTCAGTGCATAGATCCGCTGTGCAGTGGCCACGGGACGTGCACGGACGGGAATTGCGTCTGCTCCATCGGGTACAAGGGAAGCAGCTGTGCAGAGGGTAAGAGAGGTGGGAATAGATTTTAGATTTCTTATTATCTTGAAGAAAATACATGTGTGATCTACAAAAACAAACCTGAAACAGCCAAGCTCTTGGATTAGTCATCCATCCATCCATTTTCTACCCCTAAATCCATTTCTTGGTTAGGGGGGCAGCAGTCAGAGATGCAACCCAGTACACAGATATTGGTATTTAAAGCTGGGTACCTAGCTTTATTCTTACACGTTTGTTATGTTGTCTGTTCGAAACTGGAAAAGTCTCAAATGTTTTATAGTAAGATGAAGACAGCTTTTCTCTTGCATGCTTATTAGAAAGTGTGACTAACTATTTAATGCTTTGGGCTTAGAGCTGATTGGCTGAGTGAGGGTGGTTCTCTATTTTTCACTTTTCTGTCTGAGAAAAATGATCAAAAAATGTGACAAAGGCCACAAACAGACATGCATGTGAAAACCAGAGAGAACCAAACTGCTTTAGACCCAGGAACTAGTGGATTTTGTTGTTTGAAAGTTAGTTACCCCAAGTTAAACTCAAAAAGTATGTCAAAAATATGTTTTCCTCTTGAAAATTATGTGACAGACATACAGTATCTGGGGGACTACAGATTGGATAACAGATTGGACAGATACAGATATTTTTTTTTTCAATATAACAAAAAGATTTTACTCCTTTCACACTCTTCTCTGATACTAAAATCTCAATGTATGCATTTAAAGTCATGTTTTACCATTTCTCTTGAATCAACATTGCTGGATAATGTTTTTAGTCAAAAAATATTGAGCTTTTTTTTTTGCTGTTGTCAATTCTGCCCACACTGAGCAAAAAATACGTAGTTTCAATTCCAATGTACACTTAAGCAGGAGGACAGTGTTGGCCTTTGCTCCCCAGCGGCTTTTCACCATGTCACATTATTCTAAGAAAGTCTAAATTCTAAACATCCATCCAATAAGTATAGACGGCACTTTACCTGAGTGACTGTCATCTTTGTCTGTAGACCATTGAACACACATCACAGATTTTATTACGCCTCGAAATCGCTCGTATTGATCTTAGCGCGGAAGGATCAGCGCTATTTCGGTGGGTCAACATTAAGAGGAGAGAATTAGAAAGGCAAAGTACCCAGGCAAGGTGAGAAGATGAAAGATGGTGAGATAGAAAAAAAAAAAGCTTGTGCCCTGGGTGAATACAGGGGAACAAAGGATCACACGGGAAGCACAAGAACCGTACCGCAAGGTCAGCACTTTCCACAATTTTGCGCTTTTTTATTTTTTCTCGAGCGCTGGCTGGTCTCGAATCTCATATTCATCACTTCAGAGTCCCTCAAACAATTTACCTGGAGTGCTCGCGACATGAAAATCGATAAGTGTGATCTGCCGTTTCTACCAGGCAAACAGAAAATCGAGGGGGTGCTGATGTTAGCGCGCAGATTTGTGTGAATATATGTGCGTGTGTGTGTGTGTGTGCGTGTGTGTGTTTGTGCGCTATGTGATGGGGTCAATCATGCTTGGTGAAGGGGAGGGGATGGGAGCTTGTCAGACAAAAAGGACAAGGCAAAGAGAGAGGGAGAGGATGGGTGGTGGGTGCAGTGCCGCAAGGAGGTAATTTGTCAAATTGGTTTTTGCTCACCGCTTGGACTCGGAACTGCCTGTCAACCCAGGAACCCGACAGTGTCCGACTCTCCTGCTTATTTCAATACACCCGCCGACAGCAGCTCCTAGCAAATACCACAACATCTCAACTCATTTAGATAGCAGAATCAGCCACGGCGCCACTAGCGTTCATTACTGTGAGGAGCAATTTGGTGAATATGTCGCCGTTATTTTCTGTCGTTTCATTAGCACTTGTGTGTGAAGCCATTAATAGCAACAATGGCGGGCTAATAAATTGTGATGTCACCCAGATTGGATGGGGAGGCAGCAGCAGAAGTCACAAGCCAAAAGTGATTATTTGTCGCGGAGCAAAATCCAACATTGTCAACCTAAGTTAGGGATAGAGAAGCTACTTGTAATAGCCTTCAAAAGCTATCTAGTGTCAGAAATACTATGTACAGGGTGGGCGAGTTTAGTTAACACGCCACAGGAGCCTATGGGTTGAATAAAGTGCATGAAATGGGGAGTGTAGATCTCAATTGTTGATGAAACTGGCTTATACTCAATGATGTATGAATGCAGCGAATGAATATAATGAAATTCAAATTAAATTAAATTTCAAATAAAAAATCAGAATAATAATATCTGTTTATTAGGTGCACGTTCAAAAAAAAAAATCTTTCAAACTGGTTTATGTTAAACTCAAACCACAACCTCTTTGGTACATTTCTAAAATCAAAATCTTGTTCAAAAATGAATACTATTTTTTCTTGGAGTATTAAGCAGATAACTCCTAAATCAATAAGGAAAAGCAGACAATATAAGGTGAATGATAAAGAGAAGCGACTTACTTAAATGTATTTCCTGGATAGTTTGTTGTGTATGTATCTCCTGGCAGTTCGTTTAATGTTTACTGCCCCTATTCTACAAAAGCGAGTGGATATATGCATTTAAATTACATTTCAAAGTCAAGCAGCATCTTCAAAAATAGCAGAAGGTAAACACACTGTCACTCACACAATGCTTATTTACATTGTCCATTTGAAAGTCTTCACATTCCAACAATACGGTGGTCTCTCTAGACTAAATTAGTTTGTTTGTTTTTTGCAGTTTTTAGAATAATTACAGGGTGGGTAACGTTTCTGTTCTAACCCAAATACAATTTATTTTCCCTAACAGACTGAATTGTGTGACAGTGAATTATTATTATTTTTTTAACCAATCTAACCACATCCTGCTGCTTCCATCTTATCTGAAGACATATTTTCCAAACCCTGTGAGTCAATATTTGCCGCTTAAAGGTATATAGAAGGAGAAGAATATTTTCTACTTCCGGGTGGATCATCAAGAGTATTGGTCCTCTCAATTGTCAATCATTCTGGTGATATGTGCTCGTCAAATAAGACCAGAAAGGAAGTGGAGGGGGCAGTTCTTTCCTAAAATTTGGGAAAATCCTCCTAAATACCTTTAAGGCTAAGAGCTGATGGGCTATTATTCCGTTTAAAAATATGACCTAAAACAAGTGATGGAACCAAACTTCTTTCATAGCGACGAACTATAGTTAGATGAATTGTAAATACATAGTTGAGTTTATTGTGATAAGAAAGTTGGATACCCCAGCTTTACATAAGGGTAGTCACTGCAGCACCAGATCCAAACATATGCTAAAATCCTGTATTTATGTATAGCATCTGTTGTTGTAACTAACTGTGCTCATAATGCCATTTTATCTCTTCCCATCCCTCTTGTGTGTCTCTCATATTGTTCGGCTTAAGCAGTGGATTGCTTGGACCCCACTTGCTCCAACAATGGTATCTGTGTGAATGGGGAGTGTCACTGTAAGCCAGGCTGGGGAGGTCTCCACTGCGAGCTGCCCAGAGCCCAGTGCCCGGACCAGTGCCACGGACATGGAGCCTTCATCCCGGACACCGGCCTGTGTAGCTGCGACCCCAACTGGATGGGCCCCGACTGCTCCATGGGTAAGTTAGAAATGTTTCGACAAATAGCGCATAATATTTTTCCAACTACCAATGACATCTGGCTAATTAATGTATCGTTATATTAGTTTCTATTCGGGTGATCAAATAGGGTTTAGATGGATTCATTAAAGCCTTGATCAAACCCAAGTTGCTCAGAAATAGAAACAGAGAAAATGTCAAGATGAAATAAATGGTTGAGTTTATTATGAGGGGCGACAGTAGCTCAGTTGGTAGAGCATTGGCCTTAAGCCCAGAAGGTTGTGGGTTCAATTCCCACCTCTGCACCTTCTCCACCGACTCCCAATGAGGACTGCTGTCGTTGTGTCCTTGGGCAAGACACTTAACCCCACTTTGCCCAAAGCCCCCACTGAAAGATCAAGGCTATGCTCACACTCAGAGAGCAGCCGTCCTCCTGTGGACTCACCACCTGCAGAGGGTCAGTGAGGGGCTGGTGCTATGAGACTTGGGTGGCATCTCTGACTGTCACCCCCCTGACCCAGAAATGGATTAAAGGGTAGAAAAATGGATGGATGGATGGAGTTTATTATGTCGGATATATAAAATCATAACTCCCCATGGGCCCACAATGAATCTCATTATCACTGCCTCTCTGTATTATAACTTTAAGCTGTGTGCAAAGGAACACTATGATGTTTATGAGCATTATGGTGTGGTGCAGTTAAAAAGAACAGTAAGTAACAATAGAGGCACAGCTACAAATTAAAGCTGGGTGACCTAACTTCCAATCTATAAAAAATACATTTTGTTTGAGAAAAATGTAACATGCTGTGAAAAAATCATGCTTTCTTCATCTTATTTGAGGCTTTAGGCTGAAATATGATTGGCTGAATAGGGGGGGGGTCTGGTTTTCACTGTCTAAAAGAAAATTAAGATTAAGAGATCATTTACAGTATTTGTCCCACGGGGGGAGATTTCAGGGTTGCATCACAAGTTACAGAATAGTAGGAAAGAGGAGCACACAGCATAAGATAAATGAAGATAATAATAATGATGATGATAATAATATTTTTAACTCAAGAAAAAAGAAAAAAAGCTGTATATAATGTCTATCTGTAGCATAATAAGGTCTTAAAAAAACCCCTGCACTGATCTAAAACTTTGACAAAGGCAAAACAAAGTTTTTAGAGCCAGATTATTCTACATAGGTAATTTGTTTTGGTGACAATTAGGTACCCCAGCTTTATTTAGAATCATGTAAACACCAAATTAATGTAAAATAATTATAACTTGTGCTGGGTGTTATGACATATGATGTGAAAAATAAAGTTGACAACTAAAATAGATATTTCCACTAAAGAATGGCATATTTTTAAAGTTTGCTAACCATAAACAATAACCTCAACTTGACTTAGCCTCCAGTCAACAACATTCTATAATGGAATGAAGTTTCTTGCTTCACAGCATCACTCACTTATTTTCGGATATTGTAACTTTAAACGGTACGAGGCACACCCCTGAACTCGAATCTCTCTCCGCTCTCATTTTTTTTTTTAAGAACAGGGGATTAAAGACACAACTGTAGAATCGCGATAGATAGCGCTGAATGAAGACGGCATTGTTCTCCGCCGCAGGGTCCCAGGGCGAGAGATTGTATCAAAACATCTGTACTAGCAGGATCCCAGCTCACCGGGAGTCCACGCCACATCTTGCTACTCGCGCTCAAGTGAGGCAATAATAGAGAGGCAGAGAGCAGTTACAGAAGGCAAATAGTGGTTAGAAGTGATTGTAATGTGCATTGTGTGGTGTGGACTGTGAGGCGCTTTGTGTTGCCCTGTGCAGGAAAAGCGCCCTATAAATAAAGATTGATTGATTGATTGATTGATTGTAATGGAACCGCATGGTAGAGATGCTGTCGTTGTGATTGGAGACAACAGAATAGAATAGAGGTTGACAAACATGGAGGTATACACTATATTTTTCAATCCTGGTGCTAAACTGCTGATGCCAAAGTCAAATGGATTGTGCGTTTTATTGGTTTAGTTGTATATATGTGAATGCATCATAAGTTAGTTTGGTCTAATGGTAAGGAGTATAACATTAAGTTAAGGGCAGTACCGTCAAAGGACTAAGCCTCTTTTGACCTCTTTTACCTACTTTTTACCTTAATTTCTTTACTTATCTGTGAGTTTTATGAATATTTTTGTATGGATGCCCAGTCTCTCTCTTTTTAACTGGAAAAAATAATCTACCCATGGGTACAAATAAAGTCACCTTGAACCTCAAACACGGTGGCGCAGTGGCTAGAGCTTGTGCATCACAGCAAGAAGGTCCTGGGTTTGCTTCCACCTCCAGGCCTTTCTGTGTGGAGTGTCTGCGTAGGTTTCCTCCAGGTGCTCCGGTTTCCCATTCCATTAAAAACATGAGCAATAGGTCTGGCATGCCCCTCCTATATGGCCACTCTGCCCCCATCTCTGTGTAGATTGAGAGGACATATGCCCTCAACAATTGCAAAGCGCTTGGTGACTCTGGTCTGTGAAAGACGCTTTATAGATAAAGATGACCTATTTACTTTCTTATTTACCAATTACAACCATTTTCTTTCATATAGTTGAAAAATGAAATATCAAGAGTAAGTACAGCATATCTGGCTCTCTGTGGCAGTAGCTATATATGCTCCTGTAGCCATAGAAACGCATTTACAAAATCATTTGGCAGTGTTGGGACAAATAGTGTTATGAAAATATTGTAGAGTTGTAAGAAAATGTATTATTATTCCCAACGTTACTAAAATAAATGGACTAACGTTAGATTGAACGACAGACAACTTTGAAAAACACAATAATATGGTCGCATTATTAGTGGTCAAACATTAAAAAAATAGCCTTGCATAGATTCAGATTCAGATTGGGTTGATTTAGTTGAGTTAAGTTGATTTTTGTTGTTCCATAAAATAGCCTGGTTATTTTGAGGTTTTGTCCTTGTTCACCTTCTTTTCAGCCGGTACACATACACCTTTTTATTGTATTGAGGCAAAACATATACTGTAGGCTATTGTTTGTCCTCTTACAGTTGCCAAGACCAAATGCCAGAAACAATAACTTTCTCTGTTTACGGTAATCGTGCAAGGATGGAGGTAACCTCCTCCATCATTGCTCACCAACTTCTCGATGCAACAAGTTCTGTACAATTTACCAAAAACCCCTCACCCATGCAGTTCAATCAGCGCTGCCAAGTCCCTCACCAAAACTTTATAACAGATGCAAGCCACTTCCTTAATCAAAGTGACATACTCATCAGGCCACTCCTCAAAAAATGTCCCCAATTTCGGTCTCTCTATCAATAACGTTGTGCTGTCAACTTGCAATATCCACAATGTCTGAGTTATTTTAGACAGCGGCCACTTCGTCAAACAACACATCCGTCAAGACTACATAATGGCTTTCTTCACCTAAAAACGCAGCTCATCTTCACTCATTCGTTTTGGCCTCACAAACTTTGATCCATGTCTTTGCCAACGTTTTCATTGTACATCAAAATGAAAGAGGGGTCTACTAGGGAGACTGTGTGCACTTTCGGATTGTTTTCCCTCGGAGCAAAATTGTGGTTTTTTTACGCCACTGCAAGATTGAAAAGTGTGTGTTAAAAACAGTTGAAAGGATAAATGCTAAACTGTGACAAGTAAACAGTGTGTTGCTACGGTATTCTTGGGTTTCATATGACGTCGGGGCAGTGGCGCGAATGACATACGTAGGACAGGACAGGACCGGACATGACGTACCCTGGTGGTGCAGTCTGCCGGGTATTCACACGGAGATATAGTAGAAGAAGAAGCCCTAGCAGTCTTCAGTAAAAATGCAATCTTTTTGTGTGGTGTACAGTTGTAGCAACCGTGCAATAGAGAGAAAGTCAAGAGTTTCTTCCGTGTTTAAACTGTGGTCTCATATAAAGGAGTACACTTTGAAAAAATTACTCGAATGAGGTGGGCGAGGTTCATGAAACCCAAGACTACAGCAATTTTTGTATTTCGAAACAATTCCCTATATCAAAGAAAATCAATAAAATATACTTCAGTACATAACAAAAATAATCAAAGCGATTATTTCTCCAAAGTTTTAAAGCGTCCCTAACAAATGGGAAGACATTCAAGTTGATTTAAGTTGATTTATGTTGTCGCAATCGATCAATAGGGGCTTAATAATAGCTCTAATAAATGAAAAATGACTTTATATTCATCAGTCTCCATTGTGAAGCCCTGAAGCCGCTTGTTTTGGTGCATTCGGTCTCCTCCTCGTATCGAACTTTCTTCCTCACTGTACAATGAATTACAATTAAATCTCATATAAATCGCATCTTTGCCAGAGTTTTTAATGTGTGACTAATGACGTGTTACAGTGTTGGTGTGATTAATATTGACTTTTATAGGCGTCATTAATGTACTGCATATATTTTTCCTCTCTATTGTGTTTTGCCTTTGGGTTAGCTACAATCGGCCCAGTAAATTTATAAGCTGCCCTGAAAAGCCATTAGCAAGCGGCTACCGCAAAATGGTTGTGTTTGCAATTTTTTTATTGCTGCAACAAAAGGAGATGAAGAAAGAAAAGGAGATGTAGTGGCTTACAAAACTAATGATACAACTTGAACTTTTGCACATTTTGTCAAGGTACGACAACCAATAAGAAGATTTTTAGTTTGGGAATTTTTTGGAAGGATCACAATAAAGTGTCTTTTACTTTACAGTGATCCTTCCAAAAAATTCAAAATTAACAACTACTACTGAGAAGTGGCGCCTAGTCATAGAACATAGATTCATACTTTGTGAAACCAACTTTGGCTGCAATCACAGCAGCCAGTCAACAAATCGGTATACAAAATCATTTGCATATCTTTGCTGATCGAGGGACTGAACGTTTTTCCCCTTTATCTTTACATAACTTGAGCTTTGTCAGATTAGATGAAGTGTTTGGAGCAGTTTTCAGGTTTTTCCATAATTCCATTTCAATTGGATTTAGGTCTGGACTACATCGTATTTGCACTTGGGCTAAATCTATTCTATCATCTGAATCAGGTTTTTTTCCAATGTGTTCACATGATCAACATTTGGCATCACCCCGGTATGCTGCATCTGTCTCAACTCACGCTTAAAGATGGGTTACCTGACTTTTTGTTTCAAATAATAATAATAATAATGAATGAAGGAATTATACATTCAGAAAATATGTATGTATAATTGTCTGATTGTTGGAACAAATCAGACAAAATCATACTATCTTTTTATATGTCTTATATTTCGCATACTTGTAAAAAAGAAATCAGTGGAACTATTTTACTCTTTAGGTTAAGAGGTTGGTCCTTTCACTTTAACTTTTTTGTCTGAAAAATGAAAAACCAAAAATACATGCACATGAAAGCTGTATTTTAGGCTTGAAAAGTTCCTCTCATGCTCAAACACATACTTGCCTCTCTGCCTGTCCACAGAGGTGTGCTCGGTGGACTGCGGCACCCACGGCGTGTGCATGGGAGGGGCTTGCCGCTGCGAGGAGGGATGGACCGGAGCGGGCTGCGACCAGCGCGTGTGCAACCCCCTCTGCATCAAACATGGCACCTGCAAAGACGGGAAGTGCCAGTGCCACCAGGGCTGGAACGGAGAGCACTGCACCATTGGTAAGATATGCAAGACGTGCGTGTCTTTGAGAGCTTGGATGAGAGTGAGCGAGGTTGTCAACACACCAATATAAAGGAGAAAAAAAAACGCCAAGCACCAAAATCAAAGTGGTAGCTATTTTCCACTTTGTTAGAGGGATATGGAAATGAGATGTTGAAGCGGAGACGAGCGACCTTAGGGAGCAGAGCGGGGGGCTGAAGTGGGAGGTAAGTCAACAGAGAAAGCCGATTGAGAAGAGGGGTTAAGAGGATAGCAGAAAAGCAGGTTTAGCTAGGCTCCTCTTAACCATAGACCCCCATGAGTTTCCCCTTTTTACAGCAGAGTACAACAAAGCTACTAACTCCTCACCTCGCTGTGATCAGAATATAACTCTCACGCTGTTGAATGTGTGTGTGCGCGAGTCTCTCTCCGTTTCAGTCACTGTCGTCTACTGGGTGTCACTTTGGACGGATGAGATGCCTTTGATTCACCCACCGTGTTTTTGGAAACGCACCCGGCCTCGTTCCCCTGTCACCTCAAACGCACACCCCTATACCAGCCTATACAGCACATAAATATGCACAGGGGAGCCATTTTGATCTCCCAGTCTCCCCCTAATAGAAAGTAGGGCAACTTTGACTGCAACATCTGCTTAAGAGATGAAAGCCACGTCAAAAACGCACTTCACCATAGCACCCGACATTCAGAGTTATAGTTTATCTGAACGTGCCTGTTGTTCATTTCAGCTCTGCATGATGTTGCCTGCACCTTATTTTGAAGCAAACTTATAAATTCTTCAGATTTCTTACCTCTTTTGCACGTTTTCTCCCACTGCAGACCATGGGAGCATGGTTGACAAAGCAGGTACCGTATCTGACTCTGTAATCTTGTTTCTTTAGCCTGTGGTGGTAGAAGCTAGCTGCTGCATATGTGGGTTTTGGCCTGGCTTGGCTCTGTAGACTCTGTGGTGCTATCTGTCCATAGACTATTGGGGGCGCCAACCTCAATGAGAACTCCCCTGGATGTAGCGCATGCTCTTACAGGGTGTGCTACATTGGGGGTTAGCTGTCATTGAGTCTTGATGTGGTGGGGTACCAGCCTTTAGTGTGGTCCTAGCAGTGTGTGTGGGTGTGTGTGTGTGTGTGCGTGCGTGTGACGTGTGCATGCGTGTGAGCGTTACCAATATTTCTGAAGATGTGCCGCTTACATTTTCTGGTGAAGGGTATTCGCCACTTCCATACGTCTCCATGGAGATGTCGCTCTTTCGGCTAATAATCGGCTTTTAGTCTGACCAAATATTGCGGTAAGTCAGACCAATATCGTGAACCAAACTGTTTTATTGCTGATCACGTAAACAATGGACAATAGTTTGCACCATGACACCATAACAAGCTGTGTAACAAGAGTGAAGCTCTTAACGTCAAAGTTTTGGCATTTCCAAACGCTGCCCTTAACTTTATGCAGTTGTGCTTTTAAAAGATGTTTTTATATATATTGTTATTGCTTCATGTGAATAAGCTTTCATTAGTCCATTATAATGCACTTCCCTGGTCCTGGATGCACCGCTCTGTCACTTTAGAAGACTCAGTTTGGAAGTCGGAAGCTTGTTTTGGCCCTTTGATATTTACACTTTCTTGTCTTCCCCGTGGTGAAAAACCAACACTGGTGCAAACAACAACTTCCCCACTAAAGCCATTTCAACATGGGTCAAAAACCACAGTAGTAATACATTAAAAAATACCCTTTGTCTGTGATGTACAAGTGCATGGACCCTTATCTAGTATGAAATCAACTCCTGAAAAACCCCTGAAACATTCGTTCTTACAGTGAATGGAGTGGCCTCTTCACAGATCTTACCCTTAACTTTGCCTGATTACAGTACTTGATTGTCGCCATAGTGATAGACAAGTTTAACGCCATACTGTGGGACACATCCTGGTAATTTGAAAGGCAAGCCGGTGATGTTCTGCAAAAAGAAAAAGCGCAGTGCACCTTTCATCAATATATACGGTACAAAAGTAAAAGCACTTTCGTATTCAAGACGTGTGTAGTGGAAAAACGGCTCCACACAAGAAGAAAATGATGAAAGACGTAAAGAAGTTTGTAGGTAATTGGGGAATTTCATAGGCCACTGATGCGATACTTCAATATGCTGTCTAAATAAGAAGCGCTTTGGGACTGTGTTTAGGTTTACTCACTGATGTTGAAGTTGAAATGTGTGTGAATGTGACTTAGAATGTCCCCACTCACTAGATTCCTTTGTATTTTTCTCCTTCCCTTCTGCTGTATATGATTGTGTCATGTTTACTCTACAACATGTGATGCCTTTACTGAATCTTACAGCCTTATCATGACCTTAGCTTTCATTGCAAAATTTCACCAGCAGACTTTTCTAAGCCTGTCTTGGTCGATAAAATCATGTCCACCAGTTTACAGAGGTTTTCTTCTTCACAGTCTGTTTCACTCAGAAATGCCAAGATCTAATGCCGTTTTGTTTGTGAAAGACACAGACCAGTTCGGATCAATAATCAGGACGGACAATGCAGCAAACGGCCACTTGAGACAATTCTCCTGCTCTGACATTCAAGGAGCTTCGTTTACACATAACATTATTTTAGTAATTTCTTGTGGTTGGAAGATTTTGCGTCTTATGGTTCCAGGGTTTGTTTTTAGGTAAATTACAGTTGGAATATTAATATAAGGAATCAGTCATTCTGGAGTTTCTGGGTTGACTTCGATAATATGACTGGTCACTATGGCTCAACATCCAGGGAGAAAAGAGGTAAAATCACACTGTTTAATGGCAACACAACTGCATAGGTTTGTGAACAAAAATCAATGCCGTTTTAAGGTGTGATATTATTAGTAGTGCTACCACCAAATGAGTGGCTTCATCCTGGAAAAATGCAGCGTAATCTGGTCCATCTTGGATTTATGGAAGTAACCTTTACATTATGACCTTTAGAGCAGACAGGAGGACTTTGATACAGAAGAAGCTGAGAGAATAGTGCAACTTCAGTTCCTTTTTAGAGAAATTCAAGCTGACTATACTTTTTGTTCTTTGTGATTATAGTTTGTACAGTGGCCACAAAACCTGAGGGTCTGGGGTTAAAATCTAGGGTTCGGTACAAGTTATTCGAATAGTCATATATATCGAAACCGCAAACTATACCCACCTTTGCTTAAATGCCATTAACTTACTTACTTTTCAAAATATGAAGAGAGACTAAAACTTTACCCATGCTCGGCCCTGCAGCTCCCTGATTGGTCAAAATGAATTCGAATTCTTGAGGCCCCTCATCATTGGTTTAACTATTCTCCTCCGGCAAATCTTACTTGTCGTAGTTATAGCAACGGGAAAGACTAAATGTATTATTGTTGAAAATAATAGTACAGTGCCCCTTGGTCATAAATCTACGTTATTTAAGAGATGAAAAACAATTAAAGTTGTTGACATCACTTAAGGATTAGACTAATATGTTTAGAAACAAGAAAGTAATATGTGTTACATTTCCAACGGGATGCCAGTTCATAATCCATTATTGCGAGGAATTAAATCAAGACCGTCCAATAAAACTGCTTCAAACTTAAACTAAAGCAAATTACTAAATGTTTGTAATTGTCTAATTCATTTGTTGATGATACAAAAAACCCATTTGTTTTATTTATAGAGACCTAAGCATGACCATTTTTTATACATAACCTAGTCCTAGCAGGTTTTGCTATTTTGAAATATTTAAAACAATATTTCTCAATTCAACTATAGCTTCAGTTTGAGCTCTCCCTCTCTCTGCCATCCATTCAGTCTCTCTTTCTTCAAGATTCTGTTTTTTTTTTTTTCATTCGTACAGCTCCAGACGTACGCGAGAGGACTGTGAGTGCTGACCCATAACCCAAGGCAATTTTCCCTCCTTTTTAAAGAGATTTCATCAGAGTCCAACTACATTAGCTGGGAGGGTGGACTTAATAGTTTCTGAAATCCCACTTTATTCTAGTTAGTATGAGGGGGTATCGACTAGGCGCCCTGGCTTTAAAGAGAGGAGAGGCTTGCGTCGGGCCTGACCGGGCAACTCGATCAATGTGTGCTATGGATTGTCCTGTCCCACTGCTTCATAAGTATTTGCCGCCTTTTTAAAACGGCAACTCCATTTAACAGGCAATCACTGCTAACTGCTTTGTAGCCCTATAGCTCGATAATCAGGGCCAATCTTATCCACGCTTAGGTGTTAAAAGCTGCGATGTAGTCCTGCTGCAGAAAGTGGTAATAAGTAAAGTGTAAAAAACATTCAGGATTAAAAAAAAAGATTCCTGTTGAGCTGCGAAAAACAGGGATCAGCTTTGCATTGAGGTGGAATAAAGCATGTTTGTTGACAATATGTTTTCTACAACTTTAAATTTAAAATACCAGTGGATTATTCTTTTGGCTACGGTCCCTTTCGTGTATAGGCTCCATCACGGTGCGTCCTTTTATTGAAGGGGAAATCATAGTGACAAGTTTGTTTTTGCCGCTTTGTTGGGCCAGAGAAAACACACTGTCATTGTTTGTCTTTGTGCCTTTGTCCTGGTATTTGATTGATTATAATGTGGCATAAAGGCTAGTGTTCAAGCGGGAAAGGTGCCATTTAGACGTGATAAAACTGATAAAAGGAAGAAATGAATGAGCGACTGTGGTTAAGTTAATTTTCAAATGAGCTGATAAAAGCTCACAAGTTTGGAGCTATATCATAACTTCTCAAATTATTGCATTTTACGTAATGAAAAGAAAAGTACAAATTAGCACTTCATATTCATATTCTCAGACATATCCAAAAACCAGTCTAGCTTGTAGCTCTATCGGAAAAATTCTCCATTTACTGGTCAATCCCTCACCTATGAGTTTTGGGTAATGACTGAAAGAACCAGATTACAGATATGAGAGTCTGGGTGCGCTCTTGAAGATACCTCACACGGAAGGAGCTCGGAATAGAGCTGCTCTTACATGTTGAGAGGGGCCAGTTTGAGACGGCTGTTTCAGATGAACACTGAACCGCTCCATGAGGAGATGTTTTGAGCAGGAGAGCCCAGGGAAGACCAAGCAAATACTGGTGTCTCTCAGCTGGCCTGGGAATGCCTCCGTATTCCCCCAGATGAGCGGGAGGAAGTGTGTGTGATCAAGTCTGAGAAATCCTACTGAGACTGCTGCTTCTACCCCCTATAGCAACAGTAAAGAAATTAAATTAATTGATGTATATATTTCTTATATAATGAGGATTTTTTTGAAACAACCCGACACAATAGTACATAATATTGTCAAAAGATATACAGTATATATATATGAACACTTATAACATAATGTTCCTGATTCTGTGTTTATCAATCCATTATTTGTCAGTTAGGGCGACAGTAGCTCAGTTGGTAGAGCATTGGCCTTTGGGCCTGAAGGTCGTGGGTTCGAGCCCACCGTAAGACCTACTTCACGACTCCCACTGATGACTGCTGTCGTTGTGTCCTTGGGCAAGACACTTAACCCTACTTTGCCCAAAGCCCCAACTGAAAGATCTCAGCTCCTGTGGACTCACCACCTGCAGGAGGATCAGTGAGGGGCTGGTGCTATGTGTACTGGGTGCAGCTCTGACTGCCATCCCCCCGACCCAGAAATGGATTAAGGGGAAGAAAATGGATGGATGGATGGATATTTGTCAGTTCAGCTCAGTAATTCTTATCAGCGCTCCAGAGTTTGTTTGAGTGTGTATGATATATTTTGCTTAATAATATATTGTACTGTTTTAATCATTACTTGGCTCTTACTTTGACATCATTTTCCATTTCCATATTGGCTTAAATCCTTTTGCTTCTTGCTTCCATAAGACAGTTAGTTGAGTTAAAGGTAGGCTCACTAAGCCAGTTACTGAATTTACTTTTTTGGCTGCAGGGTCCCCGGATCATGTGGGGCTTTTTGCATAAACTAAAGTGAAGGTTTATTAGATACGCACTCACACGCTCACACACACACACACACATTTCTATACTGGCACAGGCCGCTGAACATAATCTCATTCTCTCATGAGAAAGCATTACTCTCGGGCCATCAGAATCCCATTACCGACACTGAATCATAAGTAAGAGAGCGCAAGAGTTATGATCCGCAAGGCTCTATCCCGTAAGTGATCTATCCCTGTTCACGCACACACACATAAACGCACGCCGACGTATAGACGGTCAGCTGTGCATGAAAATTAATCCACTGAATAAAATTGATTCCTGAGCGATCAATACTTAAGCAGTCATTGACTCCCCGGCCTCATCGGTTATACGAACGGCCGTGTTCCTCAGTATGCGGCGAACGGCGCGCTCAAAAGCGATACAAACATCACGTTGCTTCTCTTTCCTCTCCTGTCCCGCCCCGCCCTGTCCCCCCTCCCTCTCCCTTCCCCTCTCCCTCCCCCCTCCCACCCTTTGTGTCACCCCTGTCCCGCAGATGGATGTCCCAACCTGTGCAACGGAAATGGGCAGTGCACCATGGGGCAGCAGAGTTGGCACTGCGAATGCCAGACGGGGTGGAGAGGTCCGGGCTGCAGCGTGGCCATGGAGACATCCTGTGCAGACAACAAGGACAACGAAGGAGGTGAGTCACGTGGTTTGGACTGTTAACACAAACAGACCATGGAAAGGAAACTTATATAAAGGGAATTTTCAAAAGCTGCACATTTGTATTAAAGCTGGCGTTCTTATTGCTGTAAAAAAATCCTTCTTTCTATTTCCTCGCTCTCAAAACTAGTTCTATGTGTTTTGGCCTCAGTCACATTGTAAGACCAGCTTTTTTGACAAAAAAAAAATGAAAAAGAGAGGACAACCCTGTTTCTTTCATGCAAGTTATCATGTTTTTTCATGGGATATTTTTCAGTAATAAAACTGCATCTTGTCATCGGATTTGTTCATAGTTCTGTTTTTTTTACTCTTTCTGTTTGGACAAAAAATTATTACAGTATATATATGGACATAAGGAAAAAAAACCTTAAGGAAAAAAATAAATACTTGATTGCAAAAAAGTATGAAAGTCTGAAAATAAAAGCTCTTCTTTTTAGTGTGATCTATTCTAAAAATAATTTTGACTGGGTGACTGCTTTGACTGTAGCTTTTCTGACACACTTCAATCTTACTGCTATTTATATCCTCAGCAGACCTCATGCAATCTTTCCCAGGAAAATGCATGCAATTTTAATATATAAAGTCTATAGTATGTAACGCAAGGCTATTTTAGTCCAGCAGCTATGTGGATCATCATTTTCCCTTTACTGGGCATGAAAAAAACTAATTCTTAGCTCAGCAAGAAATCTATTGCTATATTTAATTCATTGATTCAAAGTTTAAAATGATTCGACACCTTGAGGGTTAGTTGCCGCCGGCTCGGCTCGCACTCACGCTCACATTTGTAATCTCCAGATGGACTCACCGACTGCATGGACCCAGACTGCTGCATCCAGAGCCCCTGTCAGAACAGCCCCCTGTGTCGAGGCTCCAGGGACCCCCTCCTGGTGATCCAGCAGAGCCCTGTGTTCCTGCCCCGCGTCCGCTCCTTCTACGACCGCGTCAAGATGCTGGTGGGGCGAGACAGCACGCACGTCATACCCGGAGAGAATCCATTCAACTCCAGGTGAGACAACCAAAGGACAAAATGTTGGCTTTGGAAATGGCAGTACTTTTTAAATACTGAGGATTATGCTCCGAGAGGTTGTTTGTGTGACATGATTGCATCCCAAAAGAGCCTATTGTTTAAAAGTGTGGAGAGCCGCTGAAGAATATTTCCCGGTAACAATGGTACTTTAGAGCTATTTCCTCTGTAATTCTTAGGCCAATCACACAAAACAAAAACACATATTTTTTTCAAATCTATGGTCTATTTTTCTCATCGAGCATTCAGCCGCTCTGCCCCCAAACTCTGGAATACTCTTAAATGTAAAAAGTTAATTTTGTCTTCTTGTGTTTAAGGTTCTCTACTTTACTTATTGTCTTGTCTTATTAAAAGAACATTCAGAGCCTTTTATTAAGGCTTGACCTGCGACAGTTTGACTCTTTGGACATTTTCAAAACCTACCTCAATAAACTGGCTTATTCTTTGTAAATTTTAAAATGTTTTGTATTCTGTTCTTTTAATATTGTGTGTGATGTTTTTTAAATATATTGTAAGGCGTCCTTGGGTGTCTTGAAAGGCGCCATGAAATAAAATGAATTATTATTATTATCATAGATGTGGTGACACAATAGGCCACTCCTGGACCTTGTAATGCTTTTCAGGACAACAAAAAATCTCAATCTCTCTCTCATAGTTGAGATACCTATGATGAAAATCACAGTTCAATTCTATTCAATGTATTCTTGTATAGCCCTAAATCACAACCATAGTTTTTTCAGAGGACTCTACAGGCATCTCTGGTCTTTTTTAAGTAAAGGACTTAAAGCAATTGGTGGATGACTAAGTACTTTTTTGGCCGCTCTGTACCAAACATTACAGGAAAAAAGTGAAGAACATAGCATATATTTTCAACCATAGCCATACTTCTACATCCATCATATTTGGCTGCTTGTTCTTGAACCATATTGCTCTCAGCTTCTCTAATTCTCATTGTCACACGTGATGAGTGTGCACAAATCGTATCGTCAGCCAGGGCCTCGTCTGGAGCTCCGTGTCCATGTTGCTGGACGCGGTGAAAGTCACAGCCTCCGTCGCAGTGTCATGGATTGTTTACGTGATTGACATGAGCTAATCCGGGCGGCGGCGTGGCTGATTGTCTGTAATTAATGAATAGTGGGAGACCAGACCAGTAATTGAGCTTGCAAATTGGATGATTGAAAGATGCGGAGATGAGTCAAAACTTATGATTGATGCGTGAAAACACGTCACTTTTTTGATCATGACTTTGATCGTACTCCAGAGGTGGCAACATTGAGTCAAGCAATAAGAAATAGCTGGAGATACAGGTTTCCCTAGTGGCATTGGAAGGATGGGTCTAATGCAGAGGACACATTTCCTTAAGGAGACAATAAACTATTTAAACCTTAAACTTTGAAGGGTGGGTCCAATTACTAGATAAATTTCCCCGCAGGCACAACAAAGGCAGAGTATTTAAATGCATGCTTATTCATACACAACTTGAGGACGCCAATGTGTACTACTTCATTAGAAAGGAAGCATACAAATTTGCCAGTACTTTGGTGAAGGCATGAATAATCAGTATTAAGTCTATTAAAGGGGAAAGTTTTCAAATTGTGAAGACGAGAGACATTTCACAGATGCAGTTAGACCCGGCGCCTCAGACTTCTGATTTGATGCAGCTGAGGCCCCTCCCCATTGTTATAAGCATTTCCGCATTCAGTAAATCTCACTGGTGGTGCTTATTTCAAGGGAGTGACTGTTTAAACGGTATTTATTATATATATATGAAAAATAACTTAACTTATATGATACTACATGGTCATATGGTCAAAAATATGCAAAATAAAACATAATTGAAGTTGTGGACATCACCTTTAAAGTAAAGTGATTATCAGAAGCAGAATGTATTAGTTAATAAAATGAGGGAGAGGCATGTGTTACAGTTCATATTCTGTCTTGACTTGTTTTTGACCTTTGATTTTTGAAAGTTAGAATAAAAATCATCCCAAAAAAGAATTGTCTTTGAGCTACTTCTACAATTCCTAATCTCTCTGTCTCCTCTGTGTGTCCTTGTTTGCAGTTTGGCATCGCTGATCCGTGGCCAGGTGCTGACCACAGACGGGACCCCTCTGGTTGGTGTGAACGTGTCTTTTGTCAACTATCCTCAATACGGATACACTCTCACGCGCCAGGATGGAATGTATGTAAAAAACCAAAAAATACAATATATATAACTTTTTTTTTGTATGGGAGATGTAACAACAGTCCTATCCAGATAACTGTTGAATACCGACATGAATGTGTTGAATTGCCTTAAACTGTTGTAAAGTATTTGAAAATCATCATCACTGAATGTCATGTCATTGATTACATTTTCTGATGCACTTTATTTGCAACATTTCAAAATATTCCTTTGCAGTGTTTTGACCCACTTTGGCGGCGCAACATCTAAAGAATGTTACATGTACTAATATTTAAATGACTTTATTTCAGGAGCTGATTGGAGTTTATAAAGCTGACACAGTGTGACCTTGTCTAATTTGGATGAATGTTATGCCTTTTAATTTAGGCAATGTTAATCTTTCTTTTAGGAGCAGTTTCCAGGTGTACAGACTTGAATGTACTAATATCCAAAACATAATTAGTCAAAAATTGTGGGTATTGTGTTTTGTGTGTTGCAGTAATGATCCTTCACCTTGTGCATATTTTCTTCCACTGTAAATGTCAAACTGCGCCTCTCATTTATCCTTTTCTGACTAACCTCTTGTAGGTTCGACCTGCTTGCTAACGGCGGAGCATCGCTAACGCTACGGTTCGAGCGGGCCCCTTTCCTGAGCCAGGAGTGCACCGTGTGGCTGCCCTGGAGCCAGTTTTACGCCTTGGAGACGCTGATGCTGAAGACGGAGGAGAACACCATCCCGGGCTGCGACCTGAGCGGATTTGTGCGGCCGGATCCTCTGGTCATCACGTCGCCTCTGTCCTCCTTCTTTAGCTCCAAACCCGGAGAGAAGCCCATCGTTCCAGAGACGCAGGTTAGCGCACAGATGACTGCGGCAGGAAGTAAGAAGAATGTTTACAAAGCACTAGCGATAAACCGCATAGCTCTCAGAGTCCAATTTCATTCTATTGAGCAATTCACATGATTCAATCTGGAGAGACTTCAGACAAAACATATTAGAATTGTACGAGAACTGCACGATTGCAGAAGGGGAAAGAGATTATGAGATGAAATCCCCCGGGGCCTAGACCCTGGTGGTGGTAGGTAGGAAAAGAGTGAAGGAGCTTACCTAGAACGAGGCGGAGATGGGGAGGAGGAGGGTTGTGGCCTGAATGAAGCTGGTGCTTTATTGGAGCTTCAGCACGATGTGAAGCTGATGCAGGTAGTACCTGATTGCTGCCGGATGAGGATTTGTGTGTAACAATTAATAGGGGTGCCCAAACATTTGCATACCACTGTATAGGCTTCTTACTTACTGTTCTTGATATGTTTAATTTACATGAGGCAAAAGCATCAAACATGGTGTGTTTAATTGCGGTGTGGAAATGAAATGTCTTACCCCACTGCAGCGTGTATGAAAATTAAACGTTGAAAGTAAACCACACTTTGAATGGTTATAATTGCCAAAAGTACAGTATGTTTATGCAGTATGATAGCAATTCCAAAGTATGAGTGCTAAGGCAAAGCAGTGTGCATGTAGACTGGGACTACAGTTGTGAGACCAGTTTGGGAGCAAATGGAGTGGTTAGTAACATGGTGTACTCCGTGTTCTTTCAAATATACTCTGAGACTCTTCTTCATCCCATTCTCTTTCCTGTTTTCTTTTCGAAGCTCCCTCTGTATTATCGTTCTTTTCCATCTCCTCTCTCCTATACCTTCCATTGCTGCCATTGTTTGTCCATGCTTGTCCTTCACCATCAGTGGAAGTGTGACCCCCATTACCCCTCCTCTAATCCGTGCTAATCCCTGGCTCCTCTGCTTTGTGTCCAGGTGCTGCATGAGCAAATCGAGGTTCCCGGTACAACACTGAAGCTGTGCTACCTCAGCTCTCGCACTCAGGGGTACCGCTCCCTGCTCAAAGTGACCATGACCCCCGCCGTGGTGCCCATGGGCCTGCTCAAAGTTCACTTGATGGTGGCAGTGGAGGGACACTTGTTCCAAAAGTGGTTCCATGCCTCTCCCAACCTGGCCTACACATACATCTGGGACAAGACTGACGCGTATGGGCAGAGGGTGTACGGCCTTTCTGAGTCTGTGGGTGAGTATGTGGTTAGATGAAAGGGTGTGGGGGGAGGAGTGTTCTGTGCCCCAGTCCTGATTAGAGAGCACTGGCTATGACAGAGAGAGCGCTGCTAATTAGAGAGCTTGAAGGAGAGATAATACAGCAGAAACCCAGCCCCATACACTCTGCAGTGCAGCCTGGTAAAGAGCTTTTTTCATATGTCTATTTTTCATTAGGACTGCTTGTGGTTCAGGCAGTCAGCCGTAACAGTGGTGAAGGGTTATTAGCCATCAGGACGAGTTAGCCGTTAGCTGCAGCAGAGCAGTGCTATTACAGTCTGTTGTCACAGTGGCTCACAGATGCTGTCAGCCAAATGCTCCGTCAGACCACAGATGCACTGGACATCTGGGGCTTCTGCATGGACTCAAGTCATGAAGGGCAGAGGTTTCCAGAATTATGCTTCTAATCTCAAGAGTAACCTAATTGTGATTTAATTTCTTCTGGTGAATATGATGCTTTGGTATTATGTTAACTTTGTTCGACATAAAGAGATAGCTGCAGTGCATTACTGTTTGCAGTGATGCTGAAAAGGTGCTGGCAGCAGCAGTCTCTGTATCTCACAGCGGCTCATGTGGGAGTTATGTGTTAGCACACTTTTCCTTTTAGCAGAGAACAAAACAGTGCACTTCCAAACAGGATCTATGTATAACTTCACACAAATGAATGAGGAATATTATTGTCTCTCTATGCGCTCATTCAAACACTAATAAACATATGCATATTTGAGATTATGGTTTAATGGGATTTCAATGTCGCACACAATGTCTGCACATCCAGCAGTCCTATGCATATAGTCTGTCTAATTAATAAGACTTATAATTGATTCAACAGAAAATGTTGAGTGTGTTATTCAGGTGTTGGTGAAGGTTTCATACAGGTGCTAACTAACTGCTCCGTGTATGGCACCTTTCACAACTTTAAATGAAGTTGTTGGTTATGTTGTGAGTACTTCTCTTGTACTTCTTTCCCATAACCCGAGAGTTGTTCCAACAGTGTCTGTGGGCTATGAGTACGAGTCGTGTGCCAGCCTGGTCCTGTGGGAGAAGAGAATCGCTCTGCTGCAGGGCTTCGAGTTGGACCCTACCAACCTGGGCGGCTGGTCTCTGGACAAGCACCACATCCTCAACACCCGCAGTGGTATAAGACTAACTATCATCATATGTAGATAATGATGTAGGCGTAAATGTTCATCAGCTACATTACATTTGTAGGAGTTGTAGTTTTTTTCTTTTTTGTAACATACCTTTATCTTTTACCACTGAATTTATTTTAACACGTTCCATCCAATCACCGCGTATGTGCCTTTTGCTGACCACTTATACAGTAAGATAAGATAAACTTTATTGATCTTACAATGGAGAAATTTACAGTACAATATACCACAATGCATTTCCCCAATCAATGCTATTTCATGAATTATTGGTTTGGCATAAAAGTGCAAATATGTACTTAACATGAATTGACGTCAGAATCCCAAATGCAGTCAATAACCACTAGCACTCACTGAACATGGCAATGCAACAGAATGTCTCACAACCACTGGTACTTTGTTTAGGAATCCTCCACAAGGGGAGCGGAGAGAACGTGTTCGTGACTGAGCAGCCCCCTGTGATCATCAGTGTGATGGGCAATGGCCGCCGCCGCAGCATCTCCTGTCCCAGCTGCAATGGACTCGCGGACGGGAACAAACTGTTGGCCCCGGTTGCCTTGGCGATGGGCACAGATGGGAGTCTGTATGTGGGAGACCTCAACTTTGTGAGAAGGGTTTATCCGTCCATGAACACCACAGGCATCCTGGAGCTCAGGTGAGGGGATAATATACAGTATACATAATGATAATATTTACATACAGCCATTCATTTGGATGGATGGAAGGATTGATAGTATTGAAGAGAGACTAAGGGGGGTCTTAGGCAAAAATGCCAGTGGGCCTTAAGTTCATTTTCTAGCTGTTTCCGGGTTTTTTTTTTTTTTTTTCAGACAGAATGAAGACAGAGCAAGTATTTCATATGAAAATTTGCATCACAGCAAAAAACGCCAACCCACAGGTGTTAGCTAGTCCAAACAACAGAGACCTCACTGATGTCGCTGTGACCTAAAAAGCCTGATCACTTGAATATTATGTCTTGTGTTTGTCCATTTTGTGTAGGCCAAATTCAACTTGTTTAATAAAAATAACAGTAATCATAATGATTTTACTAATATGCATGCATAGACAGGCAATACTGTAGTGTCTGTGAATGTAAAACATTAAAAACAGGATTATTATTGATGAATAAAAGTTCAAGCCACAATTGCGTGTTTCTACATTGACATTGAGGTTAACAGCATTTCAATGTTTACTTCTACAACAAGAGCAGTGCGCTATTTGTCTATTGTAGCCAAAATAATGTGTGAAAATCAATAGAAAGTAATTAAGTTTTTATCGGGGCAGTATTTTTTTTTTCTTCAATACCATCAAGTGTTATCATTCTAATGGTGCCTGTATATGTGCTCTTTTATATCACACCAATTTGTTTTTGGAGCGCCTAAAACCACAGCAGCAGTCGTCTCGGGGACGCCACAGAATTCAGATTTGCCATAAATTTGCCATTTGCAGTAAAACCACATTGGAATACGCAGGAGTTGTATAGGAATTGTTGATTTGCCAACAGAAAATTAAAAATAAAATTATTGGAACACAAAGAAATGCATTATTAAAACACATACGAGCCATTGGTCCATACAACAGCTTAACCAATATCCAGATTTTTGGAGAAATGTCTTGGATCATCCCCACCTACACCCTTATAGTCTTGAAGTTTGCATGTTGGAAAAAAAGTTGATTAATTTGTACTGTCCTATATTATAAAAAAGAAACATTTAACACTATGACCCAATGCGTAGACAAAATCACACCTAAAGGACTTAACATGGAAACAAGTGGAGGTGTTCCATAGACACTAGTTAGTCTTCTTACCGAGTATGACCCCAACACATTATGAGAGGAGTATTCTAAATATATAAACAGCACATACACAGATGATTACAAATTGCATGTAAAAGTGTGAGACTCATGGGAGGCTACACCGAGGCAGTATTGCGCATTGTTGGAGATAAGTTTTCCCGCAGGTGCCCTTACCTTTGTTTAAAATGTGATGCTCACTGGCAGCCAGCTGTGAATGTCTCTGTAGGGGGCTCCCACACCTCTGTGAGTTAACTCTGCTATTGTTCTGTTTTTGTCTCACTCTCACGCTTCAAGGAACAAGGATTTCCGGCACAGGTAAGCCATAACACTTTTGTATTATATAACGATGGCAGTATATATATTTAATTCAACCCTTTATGGGCCAAGGTAGCAGAAATTATACTTTGATGCAGCGCACTAGCTTCCTTAATTTGTGTTCAATAGTGTCAATTATTATTTATGCACTTATTTTTAGTATTCCTTATTTCCTTCATATTTGATAAAGTCCCAGGCTCCATCATTTCTGATGAAATGTCGTGTACCTCAAGAGTTAATGATGTTGAGGGTATAAAAAATTGCTTCAATTCCATTTAATATTTCGATTGTCTGAAAAAGGTTTTTGTATTCCCATGTAAAAATGTATTGTCTTTCTCCTGTGTTGAGAAAAATACACACACATCACAGAAGAAAATACCAAAACGAATTCATGGGAAAGACAAGAAAGTGTTACCGGGCTTTTAGATGAAAGTTGTATGATTTGTGCCATAAAACTGACATTAGTGTGAAGGATCTAAAAATAACTTCAGGTCTGTTTTTGATGGAGAAATGTTGTATGTCTCCTTCAACGCAACACTTACCATTATACAATTGCTTGCTTATACAAGCCCTATTTTTAAATTAAAACATTTAGTTTTTTTGAGAGTTTTAAGAGTTATTTTTATTGTAAGTAACAGGAAGTCACAAACTATGAATTTGCTTTGGCTCATGATGCAACCAAGCATCCGAAAAGAGCTAACTGTCTTTTCCTTTTGGTCCACAGTAACAACCCCACACATAAGTACTTCATGGCGGTGGACCCTGTATCCGGGGCGCTGTTCATTTCGGACACAAACTCGCGGCGGATCTACCGTGTGCGGTCGCTAGCCGGTGGGCGTCTGCTGTCGGACAACGCAGAGGTGGTGGCCGGCACCGGGGAGCAGTGCCTGCCCTTCGACGAACGCTGCGGAGACGGAGGGAAGGCCACGGAAGCGACGCTCATGAGCCCCAAGGGTGAGCCCCGTTTATGTGACATCACTCTTTCTGACTGCAAAAAGTTAATATTTGCCTGATTTTTAAAAATTAGTAACTAGAATGACCAGAGCAGTAATTTTGACGCCGAAATGATTTGGTATGGTTTTTATCTTTTAATACATGCTAAAACTATACAAATATATACAATTTTAAAATTGTTTCTTTTGCATTATATGAAACTGACAAAATAATCTCAAATAAAAACTCTAAAAATTCAAGAACTAATATTTATGTGTGATTGGAATTCTAATTGTGTTATGAAAAGATCCATATGGTCATTTTTTTACATAAACTTTAACATAACTCTATTTTGTCATCTCCGCCGCAGTGAAACGCTTCTAGCTTATAGAACGTGTGTTTGTAATCCGAAACCCAGCCATCAATGGTTCTCTGTCAGCTCATGGTAATTGTCAGCGGCACTGTTTGGAAAATTAAACTGGAGAAAAAGATCAAGCATTGCATAATGAAACTCTGCCTGATGTGGGACTGCAATTTTGAGCGCAAAAGTATCAGCAATGTTATTTGGAAGGAACGATGACCACGACAGACCAGTACAGTTAGGTCGGATAATACATTTTAGATATCAGGGGCCCATATTTTGTTAAAGTAATGACTTAAACAAAGATTTGAATTGTAAAGTCTGTCATGATAATAATGCTTTTGCAACAACAGCATATTCCCTCACTAAGAACGAAAGATGAACGTTCTTTATTGTACAGTCTCAATGTAACCACTACAGCACTGTGAGAAAATATGACATCTTTGACAGTTTGGTGTCACTAAGATCCATGAACCACTAAAATAATCCCATTAAGAAGTTCAACATTAACCTGGTTTATGACCTCCTTCTGTCTTTGCTGTGCTTTGAAGAGATATTGTAGAATTTTGTAATTCTGTAGTTGTATAAGTTATTTTAAAAATGCATGTGGAAAAACTGAATGTGTGTGTATGAAGTTAATGTAAATGTCTCCATTGTGAGATCAGTAAAGTGTATACATATTTAGATATTTCTATTATCTACCCATTTATTTGACAATCGATTGCCATAACAATCAAATATTCAGCCTCCTTCCCACTACACAAGCTTGTTTTGACCTTTTTTTGACACGTTCCTGCCGACACAGGTCCAAACAACTTATCAACCTTTCCCAGCGTTGTCCGTTGTCCGTAGTCAACACAATAATTCAAACATCTTGGCTATAGTGGGTAAAATTGTGGGAAAGACAAGATTAAGAATAGTCTATCCGGAAGCTCCCACATTCCCAGATTATTCCACTCTTCTGACAATTGGTTTGACGTTTAAAGATGTTTAGAAACCTTCCGCCCAAACAAGATTTTAGTTGTTTTTTTTACCTCAGTCCCTCCATGCCCCTTTCCTGTTTCCCATATCTATTGTCGAGTTATTTCAGGCCACCGCTTTTAGCCATTTTGAACAAACTCACCGCCCCGCTTTAGCCCGCCAAATCTGACACCGCGCCGACGGTAAAGACAGGAAACAAATGAAAAGTTTAAAGATGAGGGCAAAAGACCAAAGCGGAAAGGAAGTAGTGATGCGCAACGGATCATTTTCCACTTTTCTAAAAACACAAATCTTTCTACAAGATCTGCCTCGCGCTCCACAGTTGCCCCAGTGGGACGACTCAACTCTGCCATAGTGGTTTTCTGAGTCATCCCAAATCCAAAACCCTTCCATCACTTTTGTTCTCTCGCATCCGATGAAACATGGAGCCGTTCGCCTGTCACTGCTGCTATTGGTTTTTGTGAGACAGGGCAATGAGCGAACTTTAATTGACTTGGAAAGAGCGCGGATGCAGCTCCGGCAGCGGCGATGACTTATGGTTTGGGACGTCGTATATCCTGCTTGTGTTTTGACAGGCATCGCGGTGGATAAAAACGGCTTGATGTACTTTGTCGACGCCACCATGATCCGAAAAGTGGACCAGAACGGCATCATCTCCACGCTGCTTGGGGCCAATGATTTGACTTCGGTGCGGCCGCTGAGCTGTGACACCAGCATGGACGTCAGCCAGGTATGTGTGTGCAGGAGTATTATTTTTATGACTAGAAAAAGCATTAAGCATTTAATACATTAAGTGTTTTTGGACTGCAAGAGCTCAAAATGTAGTCCTGTTTGAAGTGACTTGAATTCCGGTTATACAGGTGAAACACACTCATTACATACAAAATGACATATTCCAAGCTGTTGTTCGGCATATTAGGATTTTCATGTTATGGACTTTTGATCAATATTCACCTGTAAGTAAGTTGGCAGGGCAAGGCATGGCAAGCTTATTTGTACAGCACAATTTCATACACAAGATAACTCAAAGTGCTGAATAAAATAAGATAGCATTAAAATCATAAATAATCACAGTACATTGACTATTTTGGTAATTGTATGATGAAAGTCAAACTTCAGACTGTCTCTTTCGGTCTGAAGAAAACACTCAATATGACATTGTTCTTGTTGTTGACTAATGACCAAAGTAATAAATGATAAAGAAAGTATTGGAAAGATTTGCTTGTGTATTTATCTAGAAGAAATAGAAACTTTAGATTGAATTAAGGCTATTAATTTGCCAATTAGGTGATTTGTAAAAACTAAAAAAATAATTCCAGCCTGAAGTAAGAAATATTGTATTCAAAATTGCACACAACAGTTTTATAATCACTTTAAGCGCTGCCACTTCAATTGCATTTCATTTAGAAAAAAAAGATATTTCAAAATAATTCATACATTTCAGCATATGACCCTGTAGTATCATCTATATTAAGTATTGTTCCTGAGAAATACATTTAAAACAGTCCCTCCCCTTGGAATAAGCATCAGCAGTAAGATTTTCTGGAGGAGAATAGTTGGACCAATGCTGTAGGGCCACAGATGTCTATTAAGGATTTTAATTGGTCTAATGCAGGGAGCTGTGGGGGCGGGTCTAATGGGTCTAAATGGTGCTTGCGTTCAAAAAACATTCCTTCATCTTCACAGTTTGAAAAAAGGTTATCATTTTACTGTTATTTTGTACGGCGTATTTGATTGTTATGCCAGTGTCTAGTCATGGCTTTTACATAATCTTACCCCTGCTCTTAATACAGTAAAGAGTCCATTGTTCAAGATGGCCAATTGCCAGTCATTTTCCTCTATTGATATTTCAATTTCCGACTGGTGTATCTAATAATTAATTTCACATTGATACACTTTCCTTAAAAAACCCGTCCATCTAAGACTTTGGCAGCAGACAGTGCAGGAGGAGATGAAGGAGAGACGAGACGAAGCAAAGGTGTAATAGATGATGATAAAATAGCCCTGTGAGTGCTGAGCTATGACAATTGTGTGGACAGCGGCCAGCCCAGGGTCACGGACAGACTGATTTAAGGGGAGATTAGGGACTCCATAGATAAATGAATAGCTGAAAAGCAAATTAGCGCCACAGTCACTTAAAAAAATGGAGTATGCACTTGGCCGAACCTTGGCAACCTCTCAATACAGTGTCTTAAGGCATTGCCTTGTCTTATTTAAACAAGGGGAAGTAACAAATCACAGAACTTGAGTTGAGTCCTCAATTTTGGCAGTGATTCAAGTTTAGAACGTATTAAAGGTGCAGTCAATTCAATTCAATATTAATTTCATAGTTTTATTTGGACATGTGTCTGAATTGAAGATTATCTACAATCATTCTGGTAAATCCATAAATAATTGCAATCAAGATATTTACAAACAGTTACAACCCTTCAGTTGTATGCATAACTAATTTGAACTGTTTTTTTTTTTTACCTGGATTTGAACATTGTCAGAGTAGAAGCTTTTCTCACATTTTCAGGAAGACTATTCCAGATTCAACACTGATAAAAACGTGTATATAATATATCATGAATGCCGTCCAATCACTGTTAAACCATTTCTGTGTGTGTCTTGAATATATATTCAACAATAATACATTTAAAACAGTCCAAACTCGTTGGCAAAATCATGATCGGGAATATTTGCTGGAGGAGAACAGTTAAACCAATGATAAGGGGCCTTAAGGATTTTAATTATTTACTTATAATTTCAACAAATCCGGAATTTGCAGAGTTGGACGGGCTAACTAGAGCTTCAAACGTTTCACTCTTTCTTCACAGACATTCACTTTAAGAAGAGACGGCCAGACTTCATATTATGCACCTTTTGTTCAGACAAAGTCCCTCCTCGTCCTGAGTATCCCCCGGGGCCCGAAATCCAATTCCTTGACAAAAAGGTCTCTTAGGATTACGGGTTGTTTTACAAAACGTTTTACTGAATCACCACTGATAAAGTCACGGTACACCAACAGTAAACAGTGAATGTAAGAATGTAGAATAAAGCTTTTACTTGTGTTTTCATTCGCCTCTGTCCCCGTTTGCCTTTCAGGTTCGCCTCGAGTGGCCCACGGACTTGGCAGTGAACCCTATGGACAACTCCCTCTATGTGCTGGAAAACAATGTGATCCTACGCATCACTGAGAACCACCAGGTCCGTAACAGCCGGCGACCAGAGAGCCCTAAGGGGTGGACACTCGCAACGGGGCTTTGACAGACCAAGTCCCAATTAGGCCTTTTTACAGCAATTTCTTAACCGTAAAGAAGTTCAAATTTTAACAAGTTTCTTCAAGAAGAACCATCACATTAGAAGTTCTGCAGTGGTCATGCTATTACTGATTAATTAGGTCTTAGCCTTTAGAAACTTGGTTCATTATAGAAGTATCTACATTTTTTCTTAAGTTGAAAAAGTACTTTACTTCATTACTGATTTCTGGATGCTTGGGATTTAAATTTAAACACTTTAGGCACCAGTTTTTTGGATTTTTTAAATTTTGATATGTATACTACAATCAACAACAAAAATATATAAAAGACAACGATAAAAGAGAAACATTTGTGGGAAGCCAGGTTATGGTATAGAAAGTGTCCTGCATTCAGGAGCTGCACCAAAGCACAAATATGAGCAATAGCAACATTAAATGAATCTTGGCAGAGTGGTTAGCACTTGGGTTTCACAGAAAAAAGCCTTGGGTCCAATTCCACCTCCAGACACGACCTTTCTGTGTTGAGTTTGCATGTTCTCCCCATGTCTGCTTATGGCTCTGGGTGTTCCCCTACCACTGAAAACAGTTAAATTAGTTCAGAGTGAATGAGTGTGTGTTTGTGAGTGCAACTGTGTGACAACAGATGGAATTTTCTGTCTACTAATACATACTGTCTGCTCCTAAAAAAAACAGTTACTCTATACTGTTACACATTTTGGATGATATCTGGCATGTTAGTACAGGAATGTGAAGAGAAAGCCATAGAAATGTATTGTTATATTATGTATATCACTATCATTGTGTGTACCGGGGATGATCTAGTAGTTATGGTGTTAGAGGATTTAGTTAGTTAGAAGTAGCAGTAAACATAGAGGTGGTGCATTGCCATTTCAGTACGCGCCATCTATACTTTGCTCTCAAAAAGAATCTGTTATTCAAACTATTAAATACACATCTGTTCCACTCGCCGCTGTCATCCCAACAGGTGAGCATCATCGCCGGGCGCCCCATGCATTGCCAGGTCCCGGGTATCGACTACAGCCTCAGTAAATTGGCGATCCACGCTGCTTTGGAGAGCGCCACAGCCATCGCATTGTCTCACACTGGCATCCTCTACATCGCCGAGACGGACGAAAAGAAAATCAATCGCGTTCGACAGGTACATGAGGAACAAGATAACTGTTGTAGGCCGTTTATAAAATGAATTGTCTTCATACAGCTGGCCAGGTTGCGTGGGCGTATTGTAGATAGCCTAATATTGTTTCAGCTCTCCAGGCACCGTGTTCAGTGAAGTTGCATTTTTTTACGGTTTCCAGACTTTGTTTTGATAACTCACTTGTATTAATTTTGGCTTCGCTTGGAAGTCTATCCAAAGAATTCTTTCTCTATATACTTCTCTTCGCTCTCAATAACATAAGAGCATGTCACACTGATAAATGGTCCTGGTTCAAATGCTGGAGTGTGCGGCTATCTGTGCAATAGTAGAAGAAACTTAGGGAAAAATATACTGTTGTTGAGATTCCAGAGAAAGCCATTGCCAGTAAAAGCCCATTTTGTGGGAGCCTTTAGGATTGGTTTGAGCAAAATGATTGTATCTCAATTTATTTCATTACAGACTTTTTTAATTTACGAACTGGGAAAATAAATCATTGTAAATATTTTTCCTCTTTGGCTTTATTAATGCATTTGGCAAAACAGGTCTGAACATTTGAACAAAATAGTAACCTGAAATAGTAGTAGTAGTAGTTATTGGAGCTTGGCATGTAAAAATCCCTCACTTGAATAATAGTGTTATACATGAAAAATCAAACTTTTTTACTAACTTACTAGTTAAATAATACATGTTGTTTGCTTTTTCTATTATAAATAGTCTTGTAAAATGCTGTTAGCAACTCAGACCACATTGTGATTCAAGAACACATACTTTTATGAATGTGAGCCCTGTGAGTCACTATTTGATGCTTTGGGCTGAGAGCTTCTAGCCAAGTGAACTAGAACTAGTTATAGATGGATTTCAATTCTTCCATTTATTGTGATTTGAAAGTTGAGTACCTCAGCTTTAACACTAGAACCCCCAGACCAGTCAATATTACCGTTTTATTACTCAGCAGATGTACATTCTTGATAAACTTTGTGACCTTGTCTGAGTAGTTTCTAGAACTGGTTAAAACCTTATGCATGACTTACACTTAAAACTAAGGGAAAACTAAAAATGCTCCATGGATTTGATTGGGAGCTGTCAAAATGACTGCTGAATGGATGTATACACGCAACTATATATTACCTGCACTAAAATATACACTATTTATACTTGCTTCTTCATCATGCTAAAGTTGGAGATTTTTGACGTCTTTCCTTATTATGCAGAAGATAGAGATTTTTATACTACTTTTTATGCAAGAGTTTGAGATTTTTATTTTATTTGATCTTATTTTAGTATTAAGATGAAGAGATCCTTTATTTATCTCACAGTGGGGAAATTTCAGTATATAGTTAACATTCAATTATCTTGTGCTGTATAATCCTTATTCCTACTGTTCTGTAACTTGTGATGCAACACTGAAATTTCCCGACTGTGGGACGAATAAAGGATCTCTTCATCTTAATCTTGTAGTTTCAGAATTTTTCAGTCCCTAGAGTTTACAGCCCAAACAGCCACAGGAGTATGATACTAAACCATCATTCTAGATCTCCAACTGATTGAACATATGTACAAAATCACTTTTCGCCTCTTCAGGTGAGCACTAACGGAGAGATCTCGCTGCTGGCCGGAGCCGCCTCTGACTGCGACTGCAAGAACGACGTCAACTGCAACTGTTTCTACGGAGACGAGGGTTACGCCCCGGACGCCGGCCTGAACTCCCCCACGTCTCTGGCCGTGTCCCCCGACGGCAGCCTCTTCATCGCCGACCTCAACAACATTCGCATCAGGGCCGTGAAAGCCAACAGACCCGGCCCGGCGGTGTCCAGCGTGGGGTTCGGGGGCATCGCTCAGTACGAAGTGGCGTCGCCGAGAGAGCAGGAGCTGTATGTCTTCAACGGAGAAGGTCAACACATACAGACGGTCAGCTTAGTAACCGGCGAGCCTCTGTATAACTTTACCTACGGCCCGGACGGGGAGCTCAGCATGCTTTCCGACAACTGCAACAACTCGGTGAAAGTCAGGAGAGACGGGGCGGGGCAAGGCGGAGGGGCCGGCCTGCTCAGACTGGTCCTGCTCCCCGAAAACCAAGTGGTGACCCTGGGATTGGACCCGACTGGGGGGCTAAGGAGCGTGTCGGCCCTGGGTCAGGAGGTGGCTCTGATGGGCTACAGCGGAAACACAGGGCTTCTAGCTACAAAAGCAGACGAGACCGGGTGGACCACTTTTCACCAGTAAGTGTTTTGTTGTTTGTGTGTGTGTGTATGTGTAATATTAATTGTCATGTGTGCAGACGACAAATAGCTCAACTTAAATATAAATGAGTTCTGTTGATTTGAACTCACTGTGGTTCTCAGTGTGGCTTTTGACAGCGTGCTTCTGCCCCCTAGTGATAACTCTGGTAACTATCCATTCTTCTCAAAAAAAAAATTCATCAAATGCTTCATATTTTCCTCATCATTACTTGTAAAATTATTTGTTGACATGAATTCTGAGCTTTGGTAAAAAAAAAAGTAAAGGGGGAATAATGAATAATTCATGATGCAAGTAGAATGACGCATCTCCACAATCTGAAAAGTATTGTTTTTTTATTTTCATCTCTATCGCTAATCTCTAATTACAAATGCATATAGCACAGAGACAGCTTTGCAGATAGTCATCATGATGATTTGTATCATTTGTTTGGAAGATAATTCAAATGCATTTGTAGCTTTGTACTAATCTGATAAATACAAAAACTACAATAAGGTAAAATGCCTGATATGTTAGCTGGACTTTTACTTTCAGTGGAAACCTGTCCGGTATTTCATCATTCTTACCCTTTGTTTGAATTCAGAAACATTAGGCAAGCGATGTCAATGTATTGCATACTTTTGTCCGCCTGATATGGCTTTATAATGTAAAGTATTTCACTAAAACATCCCTTTGGCATAACCGCTGAATGTGGAGAGAGCGAACCTGTCCATCCATGATTTGAATTAATGTAGTCCAATCAGGAAGCTTCGGGAAGAGCATGGGCGGGTCTAACCAGTGTTTACGTTCGATAATGTTCTCTCTCTCTCTCTCTTCACAATTTGTAACTGACATTCCCTTTGATATATAGAAATGAAATGTATGATTTAAGTCCGAAGCATGTTGGCAGCTCTGATGGTACAGTGATAATATAAACAATATTTATTTTTTTACATATTGATTTAACAATTACTTTAAAGCAGTGGGGGCGGGTCCCGGCTCAAAAGTGGCCAAAATGACGTGCGCTGACATGCTTGCAATACCACTCCGGGACAGTGGGGGTGGACCCGGAATAAGAATTAGCCAATGCTAACATATAGCGTTGGCAGACCTCTCAAAAACGTCTTTACAGGATGGTCCAAAAGTTGGCTCTTGGCCCAAAGCTCCGTTCCACATGTGTATCAATGCTGAGGGGAGTGAATTTTTTTGACCAGTCTAGATTTTATTGAAGGCACTCGTTGAAATGAATGGGGCTTGTGCCGGCTGACGCATGCGCAAAACTGCCCATAGACCGCGTAAGTTGTGGCACATTAGTTAGAATGGCGGAAATAGGCGTAACTACGTCCGTTAATATTTACAGTCTATGCTTTAAAGGCTTTAAAGATAAGTAATACACAAACAACAAACACATACACACACACACACATACGAACACACACAAACAGGTGAACAGATACCAAATCCAGTTATAAGTCAGTCCTTCACACAATTCCCACAGCAGTCCCAGTAATTTGACGTGAACCGATGTAACACTTGCTTCTATAAGTCCAACACACAGCACTGCTAATTCTCACCTGTGTCACCCTTTCTCCCAGGTACGACAGCGAGGGCCGCCTGACCAACGTGACATACCCCACGGGGATGGTCACCAGTCTGCACCGCGAGATCGAACGCTCCATAAACATCGACATTGAGAGCTCCAGCCGGGACGACGACGTCACGGTCATCACCAACCTGTCGTCTGTGGAGGCCTCCTACACTGTGGTACAAGGTACGCAATCTATACATCAATCAAGTATCACAAAACACTCTGTAATTTTTGTATTTATTATTGTTAAGTATTTTGTAAAAATGGAACTCCCAGGAAGCTGCTTTAGCTTATAAACAGGACCCCCAAATACTGTACATGTAGATCAAACATGACATAGATTGTACTACATACTTACCCAAAACTATATTCTCACATTTCAAATACATACGCATCCTTACTGTTTCATTAGGTTACGTTTATCTTCTACAATTCTATTTCAGTTGGAGGGCGAGGTCCAACACAACTCTATGAGAAAGGAGCAATTTTTGGAAGAAATGTTGAAAATTCAAATGTTTAAATATTTTGCTAGAACATAACACCAAATTATTCTTATTTTAGTTCTGTCTACTGACCAGTATCATGCATAAAGTATTTTTAATGGTCACCAGTCTTAAGACAACTTTATGCGAAAATAATTACACCGTGATGGATTCGTACTGACAAAGAAGATTAACTTTGTAGTGGTTTTTGTCTCCATTGAATTCTCAAAAAAGTGGTTCTAAACTAAAACTAGAAATCTGATTTTCATAGTTACCATAGTTAGCTGGAAAGATGTGTTCCAGTGCTTTCAACTATAATGTTGGGCGGAACGGTGGCTGAGTGGATAGCACTCTCGCTTCTCAGCAAGAAAGTCCTGGGTTTGAATCCCGGTCGGAACAGGGTCTTTCTGAGTGGAGTTTGCATGTTCTCCCCGTGTCTGAGTAGGTTTCCTCCGGGTGCTCTGGTTTCCCCTACCACTAAAAACATGCACAATAGGTCTGAATGTAAATGACAGAGTGAATGGATGGTGTTGATTGGAGGCTTTGCTGCACCAGTGTGTTTGGTAACTCGCTTCTGTCACCACTGTGTATGGAGTGATTGGAACAATATCTGAACTCTGAAAAATTGTAAAGTGCTTTGAGTGACCTTGGTCTGTAAAATGCGCTATATAAATATAAGCCCTATACATTTTTGCGTTGTGACATGAACGAAATCTATCGTTCTAAGTAGATACAATACATGGAGGCATTTATAATTGACTCGTTTTCAGACTCAGAAATGTGCCTACTGTAGAATCAGGACTGAAACCAGCTTTGTATCTTTTATCAACATTACGTCTAACCAAGGTGAATCGACCACAAACCAAGCAAAGAAAAAATCCCAACTTCATTACAGGACTAAAAGAGAAATACAATAACGGCTAATTAATACTCTAATTGCTTGAAAGGACTGAGTGGAGAGCCATGAAAAAAAAAAAACACCAAAGAGAAGGTTGTTAGGCCGATAAATGAACTCGTCGTGAATCTTTCAACAGGATGAATTCACAGCCTCGTCCACACCAACATAATGAAACATAAAGGTAAAGGCAGAAAACACATTTGGGTAACGCAAGTTTGGCACAGTTGCGGAGTGAGTGTTGTGTGGTATGAGGTTTCTGCTTTTGGTTGGAAAATTATCATCGTTTATCATCAAGCTCTATGTTTTTGACACATTTATATTAAGATAAGATAAGATAGACTTTATTGATCTCACACTGGAGAAATGTACATGTCACATTTGGCATAGATAGAATCACTAATATTGTGCAAAAGACAGAAGTGTGCAAACATGTTATGTTAATAATTATGTACAAAAAAAGACATAGTGGCAATAGCAGTGCAAGTTTTTTCAAGTTTTTTCAGCATTAGTGACATAGAGTGATTATTAAAATTATTGGTAAAAATGATTACATTAGATTGATCAGACAAAAAAAGCCATTTCTAAAAGAACAATATGTAAACATGGATGTCTTTAATTCCATTCAATCTATTCTTGTATAGTCCTAAATCACAACACAGTTTTCTGGGAGGACTTTACACAACCGTTGAATTCGCCAACATAGATCAGAAAATCAAAAGGTTCAGACACAAGAAATAAAACAGAAAACATATCGGTATTGGTCCAGGAAGGGGCAGATGACCAATGTGCATAAGTGGTGATAAAAGTCCATAAATGTTGTTCATAAAAAATCAATCATAAATACATACAAGGTAAAAACTTTCAGTATTTTTTGAGTTGTAGTATAGCATGTAAAATGGCATTAAATCCTTCCAAGACCAACACAACCAACTGAACATGTTTCTCTGTGATGCCGCATGCGAACTGACCTCATTTTTAAAAGAAAACCTTGTTATTTCCATCTAATTTACCGACATTCTCCAAGAGATTAATTTCCTTCCCCAACCTACTCATCCAACTCTTTGCTTCTTATGAACAAAAATCACCAATACATATTTGCGAATCCCAACTGGGGCCTTTTCTGCTTTGAACGCCATCTTCAAAAAAAATCATTAGCGTGTGCACGTGTGTATAGACAAAGCTCTCCTTCTCCCCCCAAAAATCCTTGTTGTTTTTTACCAGGGCTTTTCAAGGGCCCATCCCATTGACTTGCCTTAATTTCCTCCCGAAATGGCTCACCCTGGACTATAATTGGATGCTTTACCAGACGAACCTGCATTTTGTCCTCATTCAGAGCCCAGGCCCGAGCGGTGATTGTGTTTTTGGAAGTTATAATGAAACAAACACTGCGGCTCTCCACCGCCTCCCATGATCCCTCGGCTTATTTGGTCTGTTTAGCGAGCAACAACCGACTGGGTAATTGTGCCGGCCGCATTGTCCGGTTGTGAGAGAAGGAGTAAAGATAGCAGATTGTTAGAAGGCGGAATCGTCTGTTTAATTATATAGATTTGTGTGTTAATTAATGCTTTATCTTCTGATGGGGGAGATTAGAGCAAAATAGACGAACAAAGCTGGACAGTGTGTTCCAGAGACGATGTTGTCTATTGCTGCTTGCAATAGGAACCGGTATGATCTGCCTTTTAATCAGATTTTTTTATTTAGTCATCGAAGTGAAGACAATCCTTTATGTGAGTGTGCTCATCCCGTTTATTTGTGTTGTGTTGCTGTGTGTGATGAATTGTGCATTTGTGATTGTATTTAGCAGTTTTATTGATAGTTTTATTGATAAATATCCAAGTGAATATGTTTTATGTAGAGAAAAGAGGCCTGCAAAAATTGAGATATTGTGGAAGATTCATGAGTCAGTACTTGACGCTTTGGGCTGAGAGCTGATTGGCCGAGTAAGGGTGGTCCTCTCTGTTCTACTTTTCTGTCTGAAAAAGCTGAACTTAAGATGTGACAAAGGACAAAATAGATGTTAAAACGATTACCAAACTTGTCTTCGATATAGTACTAATTTTAAAAAATTCTATCTATATCCTTATATCTAAATGTACTTTTAGAGCTTGTCTGTATCTTGAGCCAAAGCTGATACCTAGCTTGTGACTTCCTGTTACTTACAATGGCAATAAAAAAATAATTCAGATTTTTATTCTAGTTTTTGTGGCTTGAAAGTTAGGTACCCGAGCTTTAATGGCATCTCTGAGTCCTCTTGCGTTGACGTTCCATTTAAAATAAAGATATTTCATTTAAACCAGTGGGAGTTCCTTGAGTCCATCGAGCCCATCTCTCTGTGAAGGCTATAAGTTTCTGTTCTGATATTTGTGTTCACCCTCAAAGAGCACCTACTGGGATTGCTATCTATGTTTTATCAAGCCCCAGCGGAGCGCTCTCCTCTCATCTCTCCTTTAGTCCTTTATATGTATTTTTTATACTTTCTACACTCACCTTGGTTTATCAAAAATGATGACAAAACATTTGTGTTTCAGTTATTATGTTTACCTTCTCCAAACAGCCAGACATATTGGATTTTCCAGTTATCATATTTTTGTACGTTGTCTTATTCACATAGTTGCTCAAAGTGAAATTAGCATACCACAAAAACACACGTACACACAAAAACACAATAGCAGCTTATTATAAATGTGTTTGGTTTCCCCGTTGTCTATTGGACACTCCCAGAACTCTAAATGTTCCCTTTCAAATATTTTTTTCCTGCTTCCCACACGTCGACTTTGTTATTTTTCTGTATGGGATTTTTTTTTTTTACTGCACCAAAAAGCTGAGGGGGGAAAAATATCAACATCAATCAAAAATGATATTTATTTCCCTCATATTGACCAATCTTGATTCTTTTTTTTGTCTTTCTATTTTCACATAGCCTTTGTTAGCGTTTAGCCCTTCAATTGTATTGTTTTTAACTTATTAAAATTCACTAAACCCCAACCCTAACCGTAACCCAAAACCTTACACCAAATTCCATTGATTTGAATGGGAGCCATCAAAATGATTCAATAATTAAGAGAAGCATGACTTGTACAATGAGGCGGTTGTCTTAATATGTTTTTTAGCGCCAATAATGTGTAAACGTTCCACCTGTTTAGGCGGAGGAAATGGGGCAGAGGCATTGATGTCTTTTAAGGTCTTTCCTCTCGCTGCGTGTGGATTTGTACTGAGTTAACCAGCCGCTGTCTCGCGCTCCCTTCATTAACTTCTGCACACTGAATTGTCTATAGCCCTGCGGCTCTCCTCCTCTCTCGCTCTCTCTGTCCATATAAATCACTTGTGTTTACCAAAGAGACATACTTTTGTGGTGGAATTTTTGTGTTCAAATATTCCACACGCAAATCATTATTTTGCATTTTGTTTATTACATGCAGCACTATTGATCTAAAATGGCTTAATAACAGAAACAGGGTCATTGATTTCCTGTCTAAAACTGCAGAACTGATGTGTGTATATATATATATAGCTGGCAGCAGTAGCAGCTTTTTTCTTATATATATGTATACGATTGTGGTTTTTTTTTTAAGCAATTATCTCGAACCTTTTCTAAAAACTTGAATGCAGGATAAGAAATATGCAAGAATCAATCATCACTAAACATGTAATATATTCTCAGGAGGACGATCCGGAAAATATTAGCATTTATTAAAAAAACAACAACAACCTAAAGGGGAACCGTTGTAACCAGAACGTGCACTTGGAGAGCACATACCCCGCCAAAATCTCAAGCTTTTTTAATGGGGTCTACTTACTATCACATGTTATCTACACACCATCTTTAAACACAATCATCCAGTGGTTTTTTTGCATAATCCCGTCAACTGAGAAACACACACATACACACACACATATAGACACAGGTGAACACATTGCCCCTTGCCAGAGTAAAGAAAGTTAAAAGGTTATGAAATATAGAAATATGTTATCTCCTCATACAGATATAGATAACATCATCATTTTAAAAAATAGATATCCACATTTTGAAACGTTTTGCATTGATCTTGCTATAATCTTCCTACGCGTTTTGGTTGGTTTGAAAACATATGCTCAAGAAGGGGTGAAACTTTATTTGTATAGGAACTAAAATAGATCTGGCTTTTCAATAAACTACAAAGTAAAGGGCAAACTGTAAGACTTTCAACAACAGAAAATCTAATGTCGTTGTAAATGGCCGATTCAAATATAAAATGTACTTTTATCCATCTCACATGCTAAGGAAAGGGAAGATATTTATCCCAGAGTTTTGCTTCACCCAATCCCTTTTCGAACCAGGTACAAGTTATCTGTCTGTTGTATTGATAAATGTGAATATATGTAGTGTGCAGGTTCAAAATAAATAAAATATACAAAAAATAAGATACAAAACAAGCTGTCCCCAGACATCACAGCCAGTCAGACACAACATCATCGAGGGCAAGTCACTAAACTGCGTCTGGATTGTCCGTCTGCGTATACAGCGCTCTCTGCGATTTCGGCTCATTTGTGGGAACGAGGCTTGACAGGGGGCTATAAATATTTTACAAACTTGATCCACTTCACATCATTATAATGAACTCGCTGTAGGCTAGAATTTTCCGAGAGTGGAAGTCAGATCGCACACAAAGTTTGTGTTACGCAACGAGCCCAACTCCGCAAAGACCAAAGTATCTTGACATTCTGATGTTTAGGGTCAAATTCAGGCCAACAAAAGTTTTTTTTTACCTGCTCGGCTCCAGGCAGATGCTGTTTATTTGCCTCATTCGCTGGTTGCTCAAATTTATAAAAAGGATACAGATATTATCGCTGCTGCCTCATGGTTTTTATCGGTGCCCAGTCACGTCTCTGATTCTGGGGCTGGATCCAAGTCGGGCTGAGCTGCTTTTTTTTTTTTCTTGAATGAAATTAGATCAAACAAATGCACTGTCCTAACGGAACGGTCCCCTGGTGCTTCTTTGGCAGAGGTGCTCACGAGACGATGTTGCAGTCGGAGCCAAAGCAGAGACAGAGGGTTTGATTGTTATTACAAAATGATATTACTTTACTAGAGATGAGAAGTGCCATAAAAGCACATTATATGCAATAGCTGATTTGAAAATGTGCATGCCTAAATTAGGGTTATAATATTTTCAGCAAAACATTCAAATCTACCCTAACTGCTAACAAATTAAACATGAAGATGTGAGTTGAGGGGTAATGAATTGAAGTATTCCTTATTTGAGTAGTGTGGTGGAAAAAAAGGCAATGGAGAGGTTGTCACTGTAGTAGTAACAGTAATAGCAGCAGCAGTACAGTACAGTAGTAGTAGTAGTAGTAGTATTAGTAGTACTAGCAGTAGTAGTTCAGTAGTAGCAGTAATTGTAGTAGTTGCAGATGTAATAGTAGTAGTAGCAGTAGTAGCAGTAGTAGAAGCAGGAGCAGGTAATAAAGGCAGAAGTAGTAGTAGTAGTAGCAGTAGTACCTGTATCTATACCTGCATGTGAATGCCAGATGCCTCTGACGCTGAGGCCGGGTTAGTACTGTGATGGGAGACCTCTGGGAACACCAGGTGCCACAGTGGAGCGGCTGAGGCTGAAAAGTGCCAAACTGTCGTAGTGTCCTTAGGCAAGACACTTCACCCACGCCGTGTGTGTGTGTGTGTGTGTGGATGGTTGGTGGTGGTCAGAGGGGCCACTGGCTGTCAGTGTGGCCCAGGGCAGCTGTGGCTACAGTAGTCGTTCATCACCATCGTGTATGGAGTGAATGACTAATGAGATGTGGATTATTAGTACTAACCGCAGTAGTAGAAGTATGAGCAGTATCAGTATCAGTAGTAATAGGAATAGTAGTGGTAGTAGCAGAAGGAGCAGTAGTAGTAATAGTAGAAAAAGTTGAAGCAGTAACAATAGTAATAGTAATCGTAGCAGCAGGAACAGTAGAAATAGTAGCAGTAGTAGCTGTAGTAGTAGTAATAGAACTAGTAGTAGTAGGAGTTGTAGCAGCAGTAGTAGCAGTCGCAGCAGTAGCGTTTATGTTCTTCTTTGCCGTACATGTTTGGCACCCACAGCTCTCACAGTTAGTAACACTTGAACGATCCACAAAAACACCTCTAACTCACTTTGTTCCATTTGTGTGTTTTTTTTTTTTTTTTAGACCAAGTAAGGAACAGCTATCAGCTCTGCAACAACGGCACCTTGCGGGTCATGTACGCCAACGGGATGGGCATCAGCTTCCACACGGAGCCCCATATTCTCGCCGGCTCGGTCAGTCCAACCATTGGGCGCCGCAACATCACCCTGCCCACCGACAACGGCCTCAACTCCATCGAGTGGCGGCTGCGGAAAGAGCAGACCAAAGGCAAGGTGACGGTGTTCGGCAGGAAGCTCAGGGTGAGTTTCAACCTTTTCATAATGAGGCTCTGATGACTCCACGCAAGGTCGATATTTGCATGTGTGAATATTTATGGTCCGCTCTGCTTTTGATGTAGGCGAGATGTTCTAAACGTCGCTTACAAAGGCTTTTGGTTTTGGGGAAATAAAAGTGGTGAGGTTTAGACATGTAAATGAAGAAACCAATAATTTACCAAAAAAATGGTTTTGCTGCAGTTTCAATTGCATGGTTTTGTGTTTTTTGTGCTTTTGAAGGTGTCAGTAATATAAGACACTTCGCACACATTGCACAGATTACTACATCAGTCTGACCCAGGGCACCTGTGGCTACAGAACCTGGGAGTGAACTAATAATGCCTTGTGATGTGTCTTTGACCAACTCAACTGATGTATTGTTATTATTATCATTACTACAATTAGAAGTAGAGGACAGAAATGACTGTACTCAAACGTTACTACTGTATGAGTCTTAATACCACATGGAATCTCTAAATCAGAAGAGTAAATGATTTAAAAGCTTGTAAAAGTCTATGTCCTGTTCATCAATTGTGCGTAGAGAAGTGTGTATCATGACTGTGTTGTTTGCCTGACGATCCGATTTTAGTAATTCAGTTATAAAGTAAAAAATGAATGCGTATATGTATCATTTATAACGACACCAAAGCACACAGCAGCAGCTTGTTTCCCTCCTCACATTCCGCCTGCCCTCCTCCCCCAGGCTCACGGCCGTAACCTCCTCTCCATCGACTTTGACCGCAACACCCGCACGGAGAAGATTTACGACGACCATCGAAAGTTCACGCTGCGCATCATGTACGACGCGCAGGGCCGGCCCGCCATGTGGCTCCCCAGCAGCAGCCTGGCCGTGGTCAACGTGTCCTACTCCAGCACGGGGCACCTGGTGGGTCTGCAGAGGGGCAGCATGAGCGAGAGGACCGAGTTCGACACCCAGGCGCGCATCCTCTCACGCGCTTTTGTGGACGGGAAGATCTGGAGCTACAGTTACCTGGACAAGGTGAGTGGATGGATGGATAGATGAAGATACAATAGATACTTTATTGATCCCCATAGCAGGTGTCCAGTAGCAGCAGAAACACATCCATCCACACAAACAAAACAAATAGATTGATCATTCTAAAAAGCTAACAATAGTAATAATAAGAAACAGCACTTCAGGTAGTTACTATTCTCTCTATATGGACGTTACAGTGTGCCTTGACCTTGACCTGATAAATGCAAGGTTTAGGTTCATTGCCAAATTCATACACAGAGCGACTCAATGGGCATCATGAAACAAGAAAGAATACATTTATTTTAATCTTAAAATAAGTGTCTAAGTATCACAGTACATTCAGCAATACATCTGTATGTTATGTACAGCCAAAAATAATATAATAATAACCTGGATTTGAACACTGTCAGAGTAGAGACTTGTCTCACATTGTCAAGAAGACTGTTCCAAATTGTATTTATTATTTTGGATGGCTTTCTGAGGTCTTAGCTTAGATTTTAGCTGCAAAAATATGAAATGTTTAATCCACATGTTTCATCCTGACTTTTAAGTAAAATGACTGGTCAACACTGTCTCCTGGTGATGCTTAATGAGTTTGTGTTCTTTGGCAAAACTGCAGTCTTTTACATTATCTATATTAAAAATCCACTTAGCAACTCATAATTCTGAAATAAAAGTCCTTAGGGGGAAGTCTTTAGACGTTTCATCAATTAATTAGTCTATCACTTAATCAAATGAAAAATATTATTCAACTACCGATTTATTTCATTTATATTGCAAGGATTTCAATGGTAAAACGGCAGAAGCCATGGAGAAAATTATTTGAAGATTTTGGTATTTCCTTTCATATTCAAGTCGGATGAAACTCATCTTTCACAAGTGTAATCAGTATTCTTGTACTTGCATTGTTTTGTGATTTTATGCCTCAATTCTGGTGAGTAGAGCTTAGATCAGACACTTAATATGAGATTTTTCCATCCCTCTTCATTCTACCAATCGATCAACTTGCCTTTGGTTGAGAAAGGGTCTTATCAAAGGATCTTATCAAAACATATAACTTGCTTTTGACTATGCAGTTCAAATACGTTTCCACAAAGTAAAAAACATCTGTGTGTCTTTCCTGACAGTCCATGGTGCTGCTGCTCCAGAGCCAGCGTCAGTACGTGTTTGAGTTCGACTCGGCGGGCCGGGTCACCGCGGTAACCATGCCCAGCGTGGCACGTCACACCATGTTCACCCACGTCTCCGTCGGCTACATCCGCAACACCTACAACCCGCCGGAGAGCAACGCTTCTATCATCCACGACTTCTGCGAGGACGGGAGACCCCAGGCCGTGCAGTACCTGGGCACGGGCAGACGAGTCCTCTACAAGTACGGCAAACTCTCCAAGCTGTCCGAGATCGTCTACGACAGCACGGTGGTCACTTTCGGCTATGACGAAACGGCAGGCGTGCTCAAGATGGTCAACCTGCAGAGCGGCGGCTTCTCCTGCACCATACGCTACCGCAAGATGGGGCCGCTGATAGATAAGCAGATCTATCGGTTCAGCGAGGAGGGGATGGTGAACGCCCGCTTTGACTACACCTACCACGACAACAGCTTCAGAATCGCCAGCATGAAGCCAGTCATCAGCGAGACGCCGCTGCCCGTCGATCTCTACAGATACGACGAAATCTCTGGCAAGGTACACAAAATTTGTTATGATTTACATTATCAAAAGTGCTCAAACTACGAAAAATTATTACCTCATGTTTTATCCTTTTTGCAGTGATTATTGTACTGTTCATTTACCGTTTCTGAATAAACGGCTGCAGAAAATCAATCCCATTCTTACCCTTCTCACTCTCCTCACAGGTGGAGCACTTTGGGAAATTCGGGGTAATCTACTACGACATCAACCAGATCATCACCACGGCTGTCATGACTTTGAGCAAACACTTTGACACCCACGGGCGCATCAAGGAGGTGCAGTACGAGATCTTCCGCTCGCTCATGTACTGGATGACGGTCCAGTACGACAGTATGGGACGTGTGGTGAAGAGGGAGCTGAAGATTGGCCCCTACGCCAACACCACGCAGTACAAGTACGACTACGACGGAGACGGCCAGCTCAGCGGAGTCAAGGTGAGAGCGCATTAGAAATCATTTAAAGCTGGGGTTTAGTTTAGTTTAGTTCAGATCAGAAAAAAAACGTATCGAAAAACAGACTCCAAAAAATATACAGTATGAAAACTAGGGACAGAATCAAACTGTTTTGAGCATGAGGAATCAGTTCCATCCTTCCATTTTCTTCCTCTTTGTCCATTTCTGGGTTGCGGCGTGGCATTCATCAGCTGCCACCCAATTCACAAAGCACCAGGAACAAGTTCAATTCAGATTTGTTATTTTTTTGTTAGGTACCCCAGCTTTAACCTTATCTTGTTATAGTTTTTTTTTTCTCTACTAAGGCAATGATATTATGAATATGGTGTATTTCTAGTTTCGTAATTTCAGTAATGCGATGAAGAACTCTTTTATTAGCTTCACGGCCTACTTTTCTGTCTAGACGTATCTTTTGGGAACACAAAAGTATTAAATATCTCAAACTCAAACACAGTCTGAAATATAACATTGCATTCTGTTCTTTTGTTTCTCTTTCCTCATATAGAAGTGGAAACATCACATAACTCGCCCTTATGTTGACCTTACCATACGCTATTATATCTTGGTTTTCTTAAAGCTGGGTTACCTAAGTTTTTTCTAACATGTATTCATACTCAGCTTTAAGTGTGTTTAATGACTTCCCTCCTTACATGAGTTACTTCATAACTATACATACTTAGTTGTGATGCATATATTTCACACTATCCTCAGGTGAACGACTGGTCGACGTGGCGCTACAGCTACGACTTGAACGGGAACCTCCACTTACTGAATCCCGGAAACACGGCCCGCATCTTGCCCCTGCGCTACGACCTCCGCGACCGCATCACGCGCCTGGGGGACGTTCAGTACAAAGTGGATGAGGACGGTTACCTGAGCCAGCGCGGGTCTGACGTGTTCGACTATAACTCCAAAGGCCAGCTGCTGAGGGCCTATAACAGGGGTCCGGGGGGCTGGAGCGTGGTCTATCACTACGACGGCCTCGGACGAAGGGTGTCCACGCGGAACAGCATGGGACAGCACCTGCAGTTCTTCTACGCCGACCTCAACCATCCCACCAGGGTCACCCACATATTCAACCACTCCAGCTCAGACATCTCGTCGCTCTACTATGATCTGCAGGTAGGAGAAGTTTCAGTTGTGATGAATTGAAATGATATTAATGTTTCTGGCGCCCCCTTATTAACTAGACGTTACAGCACTTAACCGCTTTTAAGATTCAATGGTGTTGCCCTGAGCTTTTTTTCTGAAAGTCTATCACAGTATGAGGCCGCACACCAGCAGGTCGCTTTACTTTCGCTCTTGTACCGAGCATGAGCTGCTTGCTTAGCTTGATATAAGTAATGAGTTGCCTCACTAAAGCTGTCTGTGTTTTGCCTCAGGGCCACCTCTTTGCAATGGAGGTGAGCAGCGGAGAGGAGTATTACATCGCTTCAGACAACACTGGCACTCCGCTGGCCGTCTTCAGCAGCAACGGTCAAATGATCAAACAGGTAACCGATAAACATCCCGGAAAGTTTCCCATTGAGTGTAACGCACAATAACAACTGGCTCAAAATGAGAAAAAAGCCTTTGTGTCCTTTTACCAGACAGCAAATCCTTATCTGCCCGAGGAAACCGCTGTGATGCCAACCGACAGAAGCGGTGACCTTTAGATAGTGTAAAAGTTTTAGTGCAGGGGTAGAGATAAGCAGAATCAAAGGACTTTTTTATAATATCATGTTTTGGTATTAATTTCTTCATCAGTCAAAATAAACACACAAGAGACGTGAAGAGAAAGATTAAAAGGTTTTGAACATGAGATAACTTTTACAATTCAGACTAAAACATGTCTTCATTTTGCATACTTGTAAGAAAGGGCCCTATAAGTCAAGCCATAAATACATATGAAAACTAGAGATAGACCCAAACTGTTTTTTTAGAGATGGAAACTAGGTACATTTATTTTTTTTAGTAGTTATTTTATTATTTTTGAAAGTGAGGTACCCCAGATTTAAGCATGTGTCTAAAAACCCATCAAGACAGTTAATTCCTAACTCAAGCATTCGTTGTGTGTGTGTCCGTCCCAGGTGCAGTACACAGCCTACGGGGAGGTCTACCTGGACTCTAACCCGGAGTTCCAGCTCGTGGTGGGCTTCCATGGGGGCCTCTACGACCCCCTGACCAAACTAGTTCACTTCACCCAGAGAGATTATGACGTATTGGCCGGACGCTGGACCTCTCCTGACTACAGCATCTGGCCCAAGATTGGCAAAGACCCCTCCCCATTCAACCTGTACATGTTCAAGAACAACAACCCACTCAGCGACATGTTGGACGTCAAGAACTATGTCACAGGTAGAAAATGTTTGTGAAAAATGTTATGAGTGGTAATGCCAGTCATACATACAACACATAATTTTTATTTCTTTTTTTTTTCTTTTTTACTATATGAGTAATTTGAATTTTAGATCCGTTGCAAAACATCACAATGAGTATGATTACAAAGCACAATTGGCCTTTTACGGTATAGTTTGATTCAGCAAAATGTATGATCGAACCATTTCTATCCCAATTTATGCTGGCCTGTATCCACGTAAACCGTATACTACTGAGACAAGGCCAGCAGATGCTTTTAAGAGCTCAGGGAATAGCCATGCTAGTGTTAGAAGTACAGGCTACTCACACATTTTGATCATTGCGATGAGGCATAGAGTCTCTCGCTGTACGTGTTTCATTGTTTTGTTACGCAAAGCAAAAACATAACTCCACAGGAATCATGATGCATTTATGAGAGCTGCGTAAATTCAATGATTTTAGCTATAGCAGGTGAACTACTGAACTGTATGAAATTCAAAAGCCAAAAGTAAACAAAATGTTGCTTGAGTTTATCTGCTAACCGTGTGCTCATACTGCATGAATGATAGCAATAGTTTTTTTTTAAATGATAGTCACAAAGTAAGATTGAGTAATGAGGGAAAGTGTAAACCCATATCAGAGTGGTCAATCAATCAATCAATCAAAGTTTATTTGTATAGCACTTTACAACAACACCAGGAGGACCAAAGTGCTTCACAGAGAGATTAAAACAATTTAAAACACAAAATGAAAACAACCAAGACACAATTCAGTGTGCCCCAAGTATTAAAAGCAAGTTTAAAAAGATGAGTCTTTAATCTGGACTTAAAAAGGGACAGGTCCGTGAGAACACGCAGACTGAGTGGCAAGCTGTTCCACAGTTTAGGCGCTGCAACCCTGAAGGAACGTTCGCCCCACTGTTTGTAGTGGGACCTGGGCACATCCAGAACCATTTGATTGGCAGACCGGAGAGCTCTGCTGGGGCAATGTACGGTCAACAACTCAGTTAAATATAACGGAGCGAGACCATGAAGAGCTTTAAAAACAAGCATTAACATTTTAAAATCAATCCGAAAACGGACCGGGAGCCAGTGCAGGGAGGAGAGGACAGGAGTGATGTGGCTGTATCTAGATGAACCGGTGAGAAGACGGGCTGCTGCATTCTGCACCAACTGTAACCGGTTGAGTGACGACTGTGGGGAGGCCAGAGTAGAGAGCGTTGCAATAGTCCAACCGAGAGCTGATAAATGCGTGCGTTGCCTTCTCGAGGTCTTGGCGTGAGAGAAAGGGCTTCACCTTGGTCAAAAGGCGCAGCTGGAAAAAGCTGGCTTTGACAACAGCATGTATTTGTTGTTTAAAGTTCAGTTCCCGGTCAAAAACAACTCCCAGGTTCCTGACGGCATCACGGACTGGACCCACGACCCTGGACTGAAACTGAGGAACATCCCCGGAGCCAAAAATAATGAATTCGGATTTTGTTTCATTGAGGTGGAGGAAATTCTGCGTGAGCCATTGTTTAATGTCCGAAAGGCAGTGGTGAAGGGAGTCAAGGGCAGTGGCAGTGTTAGGGAGCACTGGTAAATAAACCTGGACATCGTCAGCATAAAGATGGAATGATAAATTGTGTCTGGCAATGATGGACCCGAGCGGCAGCATGGTCAGATTGGTTTGAGAGCAACGCCAAATATCTGTATATACCTTATTCTTATGCTTTGTACAGTCAATTTTGAAACGGGTGCACTATTTTAAACATATATCAGTAATTTGATTTCCTTTTTAGTTGATGCAAGGATTTTTTATGTTTGGTTTTCTCATTTTCTGTCAAGAGTTTTTGCCACAAGTCTTAATCCTAATCAAATCACACTTACCATTGAATTAAGAAAAGCGTACATAAAGACATACAGTACATACGCACACACTTGGCTGCACTGTTTTGATAAAGAATAAATATTATGAATGTGTTCGTTAGCGTTTGAAGCCTTTGTAAGAGACAGATTTACACTGAGCATCTGTGGCCCGGTTCGGGGAGATATAAATAACTTTTGGCGTGTGTTTAACTGTGTGTCTTTCCTGTCTGCGGCTGTAGATGTGAAGAGCTGGCTCGTCATGTTTGGTTTCCAGCTCAGTAACATAATCCCCGGATTCCCTCGACACACGCTCTACTTTGTGGAGCCGCCGTTTGAACTGCTGGCAACGCAGCACTGCGAGAACGGACAGGTACGCTGGGCACACCTCGCACACAGGGTTCATATACACACACACACACTCGCACACACACGCACACACGCATCTGCAAAGTATATATAATTATGCAATGACAGGGTAGGCAATTATAAGTATGTTTTACTTCTGCCTACTTCTTTTGAACTCTATATAGCTATTAAATTATGGATTTTTTGTTTTATCAACTGTACGTTTTACTCTGAACTCAAACAAACTGGATTGAAATGAGACTGGACCATGTGATATAATCTGTAAATGTCTGTGTTGAGTATCACTGTGACTCCTAGGATCCTACTGAAGCAAACCAAAATAACATAATGAAGGATTGTGTCTGATCCAGTCTTGCCTTCTCTTGCAGCTGATCACAGGCGTGCAGCAGGCGGCCGAGCGCCACAACCAGGCCTTCATGGCGTTGGAAGGTCGTCTTCTGAACAAGGAGCGACGGCGCAGGAAAGACAAGCCTGGACACTGGTTCGGCACCAGCACCCCCATCATTGGCAGAGGGGTGATGCTGGCCCTGAAGGAGGACCGGGTGGTGGCTGCGGTCTCCTCCCTGGCCTCTGAGGACAGCAGGAAAATCGCACTGGTCCTGAACGGGGCCCAGTATCTGGACGGGACGCACTACACCCAGGACGGGAAAGATTGTCATTATTTCGTGAAGGTGGGCTCTGCTGACAGCGACTTGTTGGCTTTGGGGTTGACTAATGGGCGCAAGTCTCTGGAGAGCGGCGTGAATGTGACCGTGAGCGGGCGGTCGAGGAGAGGCGTGACAGTGGAGTTTGCAGCGCCCTCTCTGGTCCTTAGTGTGCGTTACGGTTTAGCTGTGGACGTGGTGGATGAGGAGAAGGTGAGACTCTTGGAGCTGGCCCGGCAGAGGGCGCTGGCTGGGGCCTGGGCCAAAGAGCAGCAGAGAGCACGGGACGGGAAAGGGGGCAGCCGGCTGTGGACGGAGGGTGAGAGGCAGCAGCTGCTCTCGGCAGGGAAAGTGCAGGGCTATGAGGGCTACTACGTCCTGCCTGTGGAGCAGTACCCTGAGCTGGCCGACAGCAGCAACAACATCCAGTTCCTCCGACAGAACGAGATGGGCCGCAGGTAACAGCTCTCCTGAAGTGCCCCCTCCTTGTTCCAGCCTCCTCAGCCCTGCTCCTCTACAAGCAACCACTGGGGTTTCCTAAGGAACGCTGCAGGGACTTTTCAAGAATGACTTATGAGTGAAAAAAATGTTCTTGTTAATTTTACTGCCACAGGCAAAAAAGATTAACTTGAGTTGAGATATTTTGTTTTTCTTCTTTTGAACAACTGAAAAAGCACTGAAGAACTTTTAGAACTGTTGCTTAATGAGTACGATTCCCCTTTTTACAAAAGATATTGATATTTTCGCCCATATTTTTTGGGTCACGCTAAGCGCAGTCCTGACACATAGTGAGAATGCTCTGTGCTGGCCTCTGCGATGAAGGCTCGTCTCATAGACTCTGAAGGGACCAAAATATAGAGACAGAGCCCCTCCAGAGCCCAGCTGGTTTTAGCCTCACGTCACCAATAACGACAAAGACACTGTCAAAAAGTCCAACGTCCCTGTCTCAGGCCTCTCATCACCCCACACGACCAGTCTCACCGATCAAGAGAAGAGAACGGCATCTTTGAACACGCTGTTCGACGGACTTTGGAGAATTGAGCTTTTTAAAAAAACAAAAGTGAAAACAAGATTACTATATTTGTGGACAGTGGTATCTTTCCATTGTTTGGTTTGGAATTGGGCGGCGGAGAAGTCATATTAACTACTTATGTGTCCAATACACTGATTTCAGGATGTTGCGTAAACTGTAGATGCCGTAGTTTTGTACGTTTCAGTCGCGGTAGATTCGTGAGACTTTTCACACAAGGCACTTCTGTACAGAGCGATCACCACTCTACTCACGGTGAACCAGAAAACATGAAAAAAGTTAGTATTTATTTGACAATTTCATTTATTTATTTATTATTAGTACTATATGACAATCATGAAGGAGTCACCAGTTATATTCAAGATTAATGTTTATTTTCTTTTGTAAGATATGTAAGATTTTGTTTTTGTATTATTGTTCAGTTTTGTTTTTTTTGCTGCCAGGGCAAATAATAGTCACGCTCAAAAAGAATAATTTATGTAACAAAGTGTTTTAAAAAGCGGTTTATACTTTAAATAAAGTCTTTAAAACTGTGAAATCCGTTTTTTCGAGCTATATTTCGATGTACAGTGTATAGGTCTACCTTTATGCAGCACAGTAGAAGATTGTTGAGATTATCAACTTTTATATTTCTAAGAGGAAGTGGCTTGTATGTGCAAAATCTTTAGCTGGTCTTACTACTACTACTACTACTAGACTTTTGTGGCACTACTCTCCATATCTTTACAATATCAAGCCCTGAGTTTGATGTTCCTTTGATTGTTTTTTTTGTTTTGGAAGCAGCAAAGAGATTTTAATTGTCCTAGAATCCGACAGCAGTAGCAGTAATGGATCCTTCTCACTGTGAAGAGACTCTGTGAGTGCTGGATGTCATAATAATAATATTGTACCAAATCAGTATTATGGAAAAGGGTGATCGCAAAGCATTCACTGAAAACTAGAGACTCTTCTGAGAAAACCTTATCAATAAAACATAATTGTTTACTTGGGCTGCGTGTGCTTCACTTCGTCTCATCGCAACGAGTTTTAGGAGTTTATCGACGGTTTGTTTTCATCCCAGAGAACTGTATGTTTGTATCACAGCAGTAGGCTCACATGGACGTCGATAATGTTTTATTATTTGATAAGAATGAAAGAAAGTTATGATACGTAAGCTGTAAAGTTTGAAAACAATCTGAAGTTAAAGCAGTGGTATTTGAGGCTAGATGGTGCTAGTTTTTTGCATTTGACCCAAACCTTCAGCAGGAAACCCATCTCCAGATGTTGATGCTTGGTCAGGACCTTGGTTGGAGGATTTAACTGTGGTGCATATTTTTGGTGGTGGGGGAAACCAAAGTGCCCAGAGGAAAGCAAGCCACCAATACACGGTGAGAAACATGCAAAGTGCACACAGAAAGTATCGGGATCGAACCCACCAACTTCTTGCTTTGCTGTCAGTGCTACATGTGTGCCACTATGTCTTAGTACATCTACAGATTAACCTGGGAAGATTTGAATATTGTTTAGAACATTTTCAACCAGACAAAGTGAGATATGTCGAGCCTTTATTTGTAATCATTTTTAGGATGATGGATTACTGTCCAATTTCAAAATATTCAAATTCACAGATCATTAAATACTAGTCTATGGAACATCAGTACAGTTTTAATTTATCTCCTGACAATATTCTGCATTTTGCTGTAATGCTTGAACTCTTGGATGTAATAGGTCTCTATATTAAAAGCTCTGAGCTAAAACAAATAACAAAGGCTTATCTCACTTTGTATGTAATGGAAGTTTAATTATGGAAGTAAATAGACTCATGAAAACTTCTAAGTTTTCCAAGTTTCATATACAGAATGAATTGGGATTGTTGTCCTCTCCACTGGATAAGAAGCATGAATAATGGTGGCACAGAAACCAAAAACCTCCAGGCTCAGCTCTTGATCAAGATCACGGTAAGAATTAGTGCAGAGTACCTATGTTGTTAAAACAATATGGCGGCACGGTGGCTGAGTGGATAGCACTCTCGCCTCTCAGCAAGAAGGTCCTGGGTTCGAATCCCGGTCGGACCAGGGCCTTTCTGAGTGGAGTTTGCATGTTCTCCCCGTGTCTGCGTAGGTTTCCTCCGGGTACTCCGGTTTCCCCTACCACTAAAAATATGTCCAATACTTCTGGCATGCGCCTCCTGTACTGGCGACCCCGCTCCCATCTCTGTGTGGAGTGAGAGACAAATGCCCAAAATTAACAATTGTAAACCGCTTTGAGACTCAGATCTGCAGTGAAAAGGCGGTATATAAATAAAAAAACTTACTTACTTACTTGCAATATAATCAAACATGTTTTTATATATTTTCACAGTGGCATGTTTTTCACTGTGGTTAGTAATGCATTGTGTATTGAACAGGAACAATGTACAAAACATCAGTATTAGGATCAGGATCATAATAGGATAAGTAAGCTCAATTTAATTAGCGGTTTCAGAGACCAAGTTCACACAAAGCACTTCACGATTTGAGTCATTTCCATTCACGCCACACACGGTGATGACAGAAGCCAGACGACGAACACCGGAGCCTCCGACCATTACCCTCCATTCACTCACTCATTACCTTCATATTGTTTTCAGTGGTAGGGGAAACCGAAGCACCTGGAGAATACCTATACAAACATGAGAAGAACATTCAAACTACACAGAATCGAAACCCAGACCTTCTCGTGGTGAAGCACAAGAAGCCAGATGGAGCATGAATTCTGATCGATGAACCTGGTTTTTCTCATGTGATGAAATACAACATTGGCTCTTTGTCCGAGCTGGAATGACAGAAACAGCAAACCTAAAACGAAAACCATCAGGAGAGTTGGAGGTTTAAATCCAGATGTGCACACCACCTGCATGGATGTGACAGTGCATGTTTGTGTGTCAATCTGACCCTTGTCGATTGAGGCTGCAGATCTTATTATAGATCTAACAACAGTTATAGAAAAGTTGTTTGATCATGAAAATACGTACATAATATATACACACCAGCATATAATTTACAGTGGTTACCATTTTATTCACTATGACATCTTGATCAGTCTGAAACTAGATGTGTAACACCTTTAAAACCCTTACTGAAAGGACCATTGTCCAAAATAAATAATAATCTTTGAATAAATAAATTATCAAACGTAGAAAATTGCAGTATGTTTGTGTGTGTTTTAAGTAAAAAATAGTTACAGAACAATCAAGAGCTCAGCGAAGAGAGCAGCGCCAGCATCATTTCTGTCATAGTCAATAGAAACACTGACATCTAGTGGTACAAATCTAAACTGCTAAAGTACAAAGAGAAACAAAACATTTTCACTATATTCTTTATCACTAGTAAAAAAAATAACCTGAGGAAATACATACATAGTAATTATAAACAACTATGGACGGATATGTATGTTGTATTATTATATGATTTCATGTCATGTCGACGGTAAGTCTTGCTCAAGCTCTTTCTGAAATAATGAATCCAGGTATTCCAACATGTTAAACTTTGAAACTCTTGTTCATACAACATCAAAACTATTACATAACACACACCGCAAAGACTGGAGTACATAGGATTTAATATTTTAATGCAATATGTTTTACTTTAAGCAAAAAAGCCATTTACAGAACAATTGCTTCCTTCAGCTTTCACATAACCTCAGACTACATGTTAAATATTCCTCATTAAATAAAAACAGCATTCATATACAATTACTTCGGTTGTTTTTTTTATCTTTTAAGATCACATTGAAATGAAAGATTATATGACCAAACAATCTACATAAATCAGTGGCTTGATCATCTAAAAATGCATTAGATTTCTGCGTTTTTGGATTTCCCCTGAAGACAAGACATTGGCAAATACAGCTGCTGTGCAAAGAGGAAAAAACGTGGCTCATTACTAGCCAAAAGGTTCACAGATTTTTTTTGAGACAGGCGGATTTAGAGCGAAGCAATGGGGAGCACAGTCGGTTAGGGCCCATTAGAAAGGCAGGATGCAAGAGAGAGACGGGATAGAAGAAGTAGCGTGGACATAGGGCCAGGCAGGATCATCATATCTTACAGAGGTAAAATCTTCATAAAGTGCCATAGAGCCTGAGTCGAAGGGGTTTATAAGTTTGCATTCATGTGTTTGACGTTGGACAGAATATGGGACAGAAGGCGCTGCGGCGGTTTTAGTCTGTCTATGTGGTTAGCCATATTAGGAAAATCTCGACAGAGGAGAGAAGTATACAAGTTTGCTTTTTAGTCCCAACCTATTTGTTTAGGCAGGGTTTTTTGCCTCACCGCACATAGGCCTATCTGAAGTGTGCTTATGATTATTCTGTATATTAATTTTTTTATGGAACTGACTTGTATGTGTACTATTTTTCATTGTTGGTTTTAATTGTGAAGCGCTTTGTAATCCTGGTCTGTAAAAAGTGCCTTTTAAATAAACTTTACTTACTTACTTTGTTATAATGCTGATGAATAGTGCTTCAAATGCTTTTTTTTGGGGTGGTTTCAACAGTCTGTGGGACGATCAGCAACATTACAACAAATACAGGCTTGATATAAGTCACTTTTGCGTACAACCGGTCATATTAGTTTCACATTGTAAGTTGAATAATAGAAAATTGACTTTTGGACATAATACGGAACAGTGGTTGAGGAACTATAGAGTTTCAATGTTTTTTTTGTTTTTCTAACACTGTTCAAAAAAGGTTGAGGAAGAATATTTCTAAAGTGTTACATGACATTACGTTAATAATAAGTTTCATTACAAAAAAAGGATTTAGAGAGATGTTTCTACTACTTGAAAATGCTATGTGTTATATTGTGTTTTGCCGTTTTCAAATGATTAAGTCCAAAACAGACTAATGTTGTGCCCGAGTAAAGTATTAAAGTATGTTTGGACTTCATTACTTGAATATAACCAAGCTCAAGTTGGGTCAGAAAGAGTAGGAGTGTCAGAGTGATGGCATAATTCGAAGCACACAAATCTAGGCAAATCTACGATGCAAATGAAACATGTGATCTGTGACATCTGTGCGATTTTCCTCATGTGGCTCCACGGCAGACCTTCCGTTCGCAACACAGCACCCACTGCATTCACACTTTCATCACAAAACACACATTTGACAGTTACAAGAACCATGGCTGCACAAACTTAAACCGGGTCTACATCGAGACTTGGGCTTGGGACGTGTCGTACCATTGGCCCAGAGATTGGAGAATCGCCCCTAGACCGGGTCAATCAAAGTCAGTCCACGCTGAAGGGCTAGCCGTCAAAGTAGACTAAAGTTTCAGGGAGGACACTTCCCATAAGGATCTGAATATTTATAGATAACCATAAGAAAGAGAGTGAGGGAGCGGGCTGTAGAACGGTTTAAGGCAAATGAGAAAGAGAGAGAGAGAGGAGGGACTGAGGCACAGATATGGGGGGGCTTAGGGGTAAGGGGGTCGTACTAAGTGAGTTATGTCAGCATATCCCAAAGGCAGCAGCAGCACAGCGCGGTCCAACAAGCTGTCAGGCACGTGTCCGAATCGTCCCGCCTGCGATCCTCCACCACGTACACTGCGCAAGAGACAAAGACGGGGGGAAAATTAAACACAGGAGACGCAATGCACAGTTGCGTCCGGGGTCGACGGGGTGAGCCGCCGATGAAGGGGAAAGATAAAGGAGGCCAATTTCAAAACGCAATTATAGATTCCTTTTTCTGGAAATGATATGAAAGCGTGGAGGATTGGCTTGGATTATGCACTCCTGTCTGGAGCAGGGTTCAAGGGGAGCTGTGGCGGCTGTGATTTTTTTGGTGTAATTATGCTCATCATGGGAGGCGTCGCCGTGGTAATGTCATAGCAGCGCCACGCGAGTTCAGCGATGCCCGTGGTGATCGCACAGCGGCTTTCATTAAGATAGAGGAGGATGATACACTAGAAATGCTATAAAAGTATACACAGTAGGACTTGAAAGTTTACACACGCACCCAGAGATTTCAATGTTCTGGCCATATTCTGAATAATAACCCAAAGTGGTGGCGGGCGTGACGACATACTGTATATTGTCAGATAAATTAGCTTCCTATTTTCGAATTATAACATCTTTGACTTTGAGACAATCTGGGGAGATCTCTAATGTGTAGTTCATGCAAGGAGAAGAATGAAGCCCATTCCCAGGAGGTAAAGTGATCACTGCGTTTGTCTGTTTGTCTGTGAGCAATGTAACTCAAATCTTTGACTTCTTAAGGAATGCAGCTGTGCCATAAGACAATTATTTTCCCATCAACCAAATATCAGGGATTTTTTTAACCTGCTGACTCCCATTGTTAGTTATGAGTGCAGTTTGGGTTTGTTATCATTAAAAATCTTCTACAAAATCAAGGTGAATTATTCATTGTTTAATATTAACAATCTATGTCTATGAGCAGCTCATCTCCACAAACCAGAATCAAAAACAAATGAATTACTATTTCACTTCACTTTCTCTCTTAAGTTAATTATTAATAAGCTTTAGAAGCAGATGCAGTGCACTCAGAGACTGGATAAGGAACACAGGTGATAGAAACCCAAACTGCACTCGAAACTCACACTGGCTAACAGCAGGTGTTGAGCAGAATTGTTTTATTGATAGATTTATTAAATAGTTGTACAGTGCAGTTTAAGCAAACCTTTTAACATTATCTAATGTGTTCAAAGTCCATTCTTTTCTTTCCTCATAAACTGAAGAGGCTCGTTCTGTGGTTTGTCAGTCCGAGAATGTTTTGGACTTTGAGCACTGTGGGCACTCAGTATACCTGATATACAGATATTTTCTGATAAAATTAGATACAAGTCTGGCCAGGTACCTTTCAGAGCCTGACAGTACGATATGGATCTTGATACGCATGTAGATATAGGGGACTTTTCAATTCAATGGATAATAATAAATCAAAACGAGCACGTTACAAAACCGTTGAATTCACCAACACAGATAAGAGAATCAAACTGTTCAAACACAAGAAATGCATGTCCATAAATGTTGTTGAATGGCGAGTGTCTATTCTCAATATTGTAACAACGGGTTTGTGCGTGTGCAAATATTGAAGCAAACGATGTATGATGAATGCAGAGCTATAAAAAAGCAGGAACATTGCAAATGCCTTTTTACTTATTTGGGCATATGTTCTTTTGTAAGTCTAATACCTGAAGTTGTCACATTTATAGTTAACACACTCACCTGTGTTTTTTGGAGCTTCCCCGTACATTGGCCCTGGTGGCGGTCCCCCTTGCCAGTACTGGGGCTGTCCCGGGTAGGGCTGATCTGGGCCTGGGTACGGGCCCCCGGGATTCCCTGGGTACCCTTGTGGGGGGTAACCCTGAGGTGGGTAACCCTGAGGTGGGTAACCCTCAGGGGGGTATCCCTGTGCAGGGTACCCTTGAGGTGGAGGTGGGCCCTGGGGTGGATAACCCGGAGCGGTGGGGCCACTGTACGGAGGTGGCTGTTCAAAATTCATCTTCGAGGTAAGTGATGACCTAAAACATATAAGTGAGCAGGTTTTTATTATAATGTTGAGAAAACAGAATTACTGAGTCTGTGCAGGCACCTGTATATTCATCATTGTCACTTTACAAAGAAAATAATCATTTGTCATTTCTTCTGTCCACAGTTTAATATATTTCCATGGTGCTTCCAAACAAGAGAAAGTAATAAATCACAAAATATATAAGGCTGCAGTTAATCATAGTATTTGAACAATAAGATTATAGGAGCAAAAATATGGAACACACACCTTTTATGTTATGACTAATAGTGTTAGGTGTTTCATTTAAAGGAGCATTAGTAAATACAAAAGTACACAACTTCAGGAGGTCCTCCAACAGTAGTACAAGGACTACAAGAAGTATGTCAGCTACTTCAGGACGAGTTTCAGTCATGGATGAAAGAACTGAGACATTTGTCATCCATGTTTTCTGTTATTGAGCAGGTGTGCAACATTTTGAAATGGTCACTATGTACCATAGACTGTAACGATACTTCGAAACAGTGGTCACCTACAAAGCCGATCAGTGTATTTTTCGTTCAATGGTTTTTTCAAATTAAAATTGAAAATTAAATATTCGAGTGCTCTCGAGTGCTCTTATTTCCTTCTTTCTCTGGAGGGACAGGAGGGTGCTAGCCAAAGCCACCTCCATCATGAGCAACACCTCCCACCCACTGCACAGGACTGTGGAGGGGCTGAGGAGCTCCTTCAGTGGAACTGAGGCACCCTCAGTGTAAGAAGGAGCGCTACCACAGGGTCTTTATCCCCACCGCCGTCAGACTGTAAAGCAAGTCACTTTAAGTCACCGCACTATGACTGAAAAGAAACCTGCACTACTATTGACACTTCTTTCTTGATTGCCACTTTCTAATTGCCACTTTTTTGTACATAATACTGTATATCCTGCAATAGGTCTGGCATGCGCCTCCTGTTCGGCGACCCTGCTCCCATCTCTGTGTGGAGTGAGAGGACAAATGCCCAAAAAATAACATTTGTAAACCGCTTTGTGACTCTGGTCTGTGAAAGGCGGTATATAAATAAAGATTACTTTCTTACTTACTGCATTAACATGCTGCACATTTCTTACTTTTGCACAATTCTTGAGTGTTCCTATCTTTGCCAATGTGACATGCAAATTTCTCCTGTGTGAGATTGATAAAGTACATCTTATCTTATTTTAATGTGCGCAACAATGACACTGAAATTTCTCCACTGCGAGACGAATAAAGGTATCTTATCTTAAAATGGCATGAATTTTCATTTTTCATTTTGATGAGGAAAAGGAATTTACGAAACATTTTCTTGATATTTGATATTGACACGACTGGAAAGGTATTACTCCGGGTTCTGGCAGAATCTTCTGTGGAACCGAACCGTATGTGCCTCTGTAAACCACTACCGCTGTTTCCAACCGGACGAAAATATGGGTGCACAGCCAACTTCTGGATGCGCCAAAATCGAAAAAACAAAATCAATTTGGCCTGAAACTATTATTCAATATTTCGTTTTTTTTTTGTTTTTTTTTGCATTTTCTGCATCAAAACAAAACATCAAATATCAAGCCAATTTTTCTTTTTTCCTTTTCCTCATCAAAAATCTGTGATTAGTTTGTGTCTTATTTGCTTTATGCACAGTTTTGATATCACCTTTAACTTCTTGCAAAGCCATAATTGTCTTCCCCTTCACTAAGTACGTATGTATTTTGTATGTTATAGTTCATCATGTATAATATGTAAATACTGTAAAGCACACAGACCAGAGCAACAAAGCGCTTTACAATTGTTGTGGAGATTTGTCCTCCCGCTCCACCCATGGGAGTATGGTCGTCTACATGAGGCGCACGCCAACCTTTTGTACATGTTTTTAGTGATAAGTGAAACCGGAGCACCCAGAGGAAACCTATAAAGACAAGGGGAAAACATGCAAACTCTACACATAAATGGAGGTTCAATTGAACCCAGGATTTTCTCGCTGTGACGCACAATCGCTAACCACTGTGCTGCACAATACTATTCATACAATATATTGCCCACATTTTTTGCTACACTGAGACAAGCCTGTGTCAGACATGGCTTGCATTTTGTGCATTTGACAGCTGCCAGAATCCAGGTTATTGGCAGGCTCGTAAGTGAGTAACAGAGAGTAGGTAGATTTGCATGCATTTAGGAGACTATGAGGAAGTTCTTAGGAGCTAGGGCATAGGGGTCTGGTCTGACGTACTTGGCTGTGTGCTGGAGTGTATCAAATGTACACAGCCAACCCTCTGGAGTCGCATTAGAGCAGAAATCCACAGAGTCTGCGGCAAGCACAACAAGGAGAGAGAACTGATGCAAACATTTCTCAGAAAAGAACAAGCTAAACTCACTCCAACTTTTTCCTGGAGAGAAGTCGAACACCTGATTCCAAGGGTGTTTTCCTTAGCTTGAATTGTTGTGCTACATGGCACAATAAAAAGATTTCATAAACATCCTTATTTATTTTGAATTTGATTTTGAATGTTCCCAAACAGGGGGTTTTGGAAGCGATAGTGGTCACATTGTAGCCCTATTTGATCTGCCCCATCTTCCAAAAAACCCCGCTCCCATCTCTGTGTGGAGTGAGAGGACAAGTGCTCAAAAAAAATAACAATTGTAAACCGCTTTGTGACTCTGGTCTGTGAAAGGCGGTATATAAATAAAGCTTACTTACTTACTTACTTACAAAATAAAATAAACTTTGTCTCTGGTTTAATTCATGGTTTAAATAGTCTCGTTTAATTCTGAGTTAGTCAGGCATTGAATATGGTTGGTACAAGTTAATCCGTGCTCTGTAATGGTTTGTCTATGCAAAGTTGACTTCTATGTTGACTTTTTTGTTTGTTTATTAATGAAGCACCGGTTTTATGTAATAATTTTTAGGACACTTAAAGACCTGCTGCACAGGGCATTATTGATTCAGTGCACAATGGTGATAAACTTGGATAGACAGGCAAAAGCGAAGCTATCAATCACACACCTACCCAAACACACCACACTCATACTAGGTAAAGTGGGTGGGGTGTCTTACCCAGGGACACAAGTACACTTTGGAGGCTCAGGCCCCGTTAAGACGGAGACGCTGCAAAGCAATTAGCAAAAACGACCAGGCTCCTTATTCGAAGAATACAGACCCTAGCAGTATAACCACTTCCTCAACAACATCCAAACGGGAAAGAATACACCAACAAAATTCTGCATTTAACAGTAGCAGCGAACATAGAAACAAAAACTACAGTTTTGCGTGATTTCGTTTGGATGGATGAAGGAATAGAAAGCTCCTCCGTGTGGCGCTCGAAGCACATGTAGCATTAGTTGATCCGCCGCCATTGTTGTTTACATTTGTTCTCGGTTACTGCGCATGTCCAAATCCGATACCCAACTCTACCGTTTTACTGTCGCAGCATCCTCGTGTAAACAGAATATAAGCCACCCCTTTGTAGCCCCTGTTCCCAGCGGTCTTCCATTACATACTAACCAGGACCTGTCCATTTTAATCGTATTGTCTTTTTAGCACCGCGGAACGTTGCTCACTGGATCAGTTTCAGACAGACCGATTATACTGGAGCGCCAACTGAGCTCTGTGACCTTTTTTTGTTCAAAAGTAGATTATTACAAGCATAGACCAACTTTAGCGGTGTCTCAATCCGAGTGCGTTAGAGACAGGAATGAGCGCTGTGCATGGAGCTATGGACTCTGTGTGTGAGGAGGAGGAGCGGCAGCGACTTCTGTGTGTGAGAGAAGGAGGCGGAGGAGGCAAAGGAGGAGTATACAGTCTATGAGCGAGACACAGGTGTGAGCTGCTATTGCTGATGTCCAAATGCACACATCAAAAACGTATTACTAAAAAACTAAAAGCAAACAGCGCATATCCAGCTTTAGTGCTCACAGCGAGTGCAGTGGATTTGTTGTCAGAGTCTGTGGAGGCGATGACAGAAACGTTATTGAATGGGAAAGATGTCCCTCTGATCCTCTTATCATCCACAATTAACACAATTAACATGTGTTGCTTCAGCTTATGTATTCAGTCATTATTCAATGGTAAACTAAAAAGCCATGTGAAAAAAAAATACTTCTCACTGTTCCTCAGGTCAAATATTTATATGCGATTAAAATGCGATTAATTGCAATTAATTAATAACAAAGCCTCTAATTAATTAGATTTAAAAAATGTAATCGAGTCCCAGCCCTAATAATAATACAACATCACTACACAACACTTAAAAAACTCTATTGTTAACACAGCACAAATTTACAGCAACAGGCAAAAGGGCAAGAGTTACACAGCCTGATAAGAGCGGTGACGTGTTTGTCCATTTGGAGCAGCTAAACGCACCCATCTGTGTCTCTCCAAGTCAGCCTTCGAGGCAAAGCAAATGAAGACTGTTCTGATTTGGCCTTACACAAGGCACTTTTGAAAGGTTGTTTACATTAAATAAGACACTAGGAGTGTGACAATATATTGATATAACGATATATTGTGATACTTTCTTCCGCGATCGATTATCGATATGCATTTGCCAAGTATCAATTTTGAAAAAAAAAAAACTATTTTTTTTTCAATTAGTATCAATGCTTAATATATGACTACATTACGCATCTCCATTCCATTTGTCATGAAATAAAGTGTATTTTTTCACTTAACATTTTTCTTTTATTTATGCCATAAATTGGCTTCATGGTATATTTCTGACCGATATATCGATAATCGTCATATCGTAATTAGGGCTGTCAAAATTATCGCGTTAAAGCTGCACTAACTGACTTTATTTTCATATTAATTACGAAAATGCTATCCATGTCCATGTAGTGCATTGGGATATACGTCCTTTTGAAGAATAATTAGCGCAGATTTGTGCTGGCGTGACATTATATTTTAGATCGAGTTTTGATGAAACAAGGAAGAGAATGTGTTTCGGGTCGCAGATTGTGACCAATCACAACGGACCACTGGCCCCC